CCTTATTTAGGCCTTAGCTCCCAGTTGGCAGGTGCTTTAGTGTGGCTGCTCTTGGCCACCATTAAGCCCGAGTATCGGGCGAAAGCCTGGAGATTTCGATGAACGACAAGAAGCCTGGTTGATTTTCTGAGAAAATGTTTCTTACCTTTATTGTAGAGCAGCCTTATATACAAACTTACAAAAACCCCAAGTGAAGGGTTCACAGCAGGATATTAATGTTAGTGGGATGAGGTCAGGAAAACAGAAGGTACCGGTTATGCTGGAAAACAACTCTTAAGAGACCCGGAGGGGGCTGGGTCCCAACACTTTAGTAAAGAGCTTTTCCTTAACTAATCGCGAAGTATGCAGAGTGATTTCTCACTGGGAAGGCATACTCTATAACAACTTTGAAGGCCTACAGCCTGGAGTCAGTGTTTTGTAGCAAAAGTATTCCAAGGAGCTGGAGAGATGGCTCAGGGTTTTAAGAGCACTAGCTCTGAGTTTAATTCCCAGCAACCACATGGTGACTCAAAACCATCTATAATGAGATCTGGTGCCCTCTTCTGGCCTGCAGGCATACATAATAAATAAATACATTTTTTTAAAAAAAAGTATTCTAGGGCTGGAGAGATGGCTCAGAGGTTAAGAACACTGACTGCTCTTCCAGAGGTCCTGAGTTCAATTCCCAGCAACCACATGGTGGCTCACAACCATCCATTATGAGATCTGGTGTCCTCTTCTGGTGTGCGGATATGCATGGAAGCAGAATGTTGTATACATAATAAATAAAATCTTTAAAAAAATTTAAAAAAGTATTCTAAGACACAGATCCATTAAGAGTTTGTGACGAACAGGGCTAGTGGGCTGTGAGGAGCTCAGCAATTAAGATGTTCATAATGTTGGGTAATAGCCTCATGTTGATTGATTCAGAAATTGATTCAGGCAATACTGAGTAATAACATGTTAGTACTTAGGCATTTGTGCTGGCCTGCCCTTTGAGTTCTGACAGGATATGGCCTCAGGTGCAGCCATTAAGAGCACCACCTGTGCATATTTGCTCTGTTCCTATTTAAAAGGGTCCTGCCTACCTCCCATCTTCCTTTCTATCTCCATCTCTCTGTCATCTGTTTCTCTGTCTCTCTCTCTCTGCCTCTCTTTCCTCTTTCCTGATGCTCCTGTTCCCAGAGGCTGGTCCCCCCTCCCCCTAACCCTCTTCTTAAATCCTTTTCCCCTAATAAAACAATCCTCTACTTGAACTCTGCCTCATGGTGTCTTTCTCTCTCACTCCGTTTTTTAAATTACAACAGCTCCTAGCCACAAAAAATTACTTGGCTGATGCCTGACCTTTCAGTTCTACCTGCAGAAACAATGTCTGGGTATCAAAAAACTTGCCCTGTGGGGCTGGAGAGATGGCTCAAAGGTTAAGAGTACTAGCTGCTCTTTCAGAGGTTCTGAGTTCAATTCCCAGCAACCACATGGTGGCTCATAACCATCTATGATGAGATCTGGTGCCCTCTTTTGGCATACAGGTACAATAATATATGTATATGTATATGTATATGTATATGTATATGTATATATATATGTATAAAATCATTTAAAAATACACCCTGATCCCAATTAAAGCACACACACAGGAGTTGGGGTAGGGAGAGTGGTGGTGCAAAATCTTCCTGGTAGCTACCCATATATATATAGTCCCTATAAATGCATCGCATCCAACTTTTATCCCACAAAAAGTTTGGAGCCCCTTGCTGTTCCAATAAAGTATGAGTCTGAGTGCTTCTCTGTGTCCCCACCCCCCTCTCCCCCTCCCGCTTTTTTTTTTTACACATATGAGATTTATCTTTCGAATATGCTCTATTTATTCACACAAACATTCCCTATAATACCACATCGTTATAAAGATTAAAGGGCTTACAATTTAGGGTTGGCTCATCAACATATCAAAGCTAACTGCTTGTTCATGGGAGCTGCCTTGGGTTGGCTCCTTAACACATCTTGCAAATATTACATTATGCAAAGTCACAAAAAGTGGTTTCCAAGTTACACAAAATGATTTCACTTATGTTCCCAACAGAGTTGTAAAACAAGATTTAATTCTTCTTTGTAGCAAAGCAGTTATGGCTTATTACACATATACATATATCCACATTGTTATAATGGAAGTTCCACCAAGCCCCTCCCCCATCTCCCTCCAAACCCTGCGGCATTCAGCCCGCCAAATGATGACCCCCTCCCCCAGAGATGCTCAAGACCACTGCCACAGGGTATTTAAATTGCCCCCCAGACCAGACCTTTTTTTTTTTTTTTGGCACTCGCTCTGGAGACCAGGTTGGCCTCAAACTCACAGAGATCCACCTGCCTCTGCATCCTGAGTGCTGGGATTAAAGGCGTGCACCACCAACACCCAGCCACACCTGACCTGTTTTATCCGGTCTCCCTTTCCTGTGACTCTCTGGGGGGGGGAGGGGGCTGAAAGGCCATCCTGGGGTGTTGTATCCATTAAACGTGGGCTTTTTCTAATTCAGTTTGATTTGGTCTAATTTGTGTTACTGCATTGGTGGAGAGGCTTATCTGGGTATAGAAACATTTCAAACATATGTATTTCAAGATATCTTCAAATATAATTTGATGGCACTCCCACACATAGTTTAACTTCATCTTGTAATTAAGTGAACCTTTATTTCAGGTAATTCAAAGGACTTATTTCAAAGGACTTAATTCAAAGGACTAGATCGCCTTCCCTGCAGCATGGGATTTAGTTTAAATAAGAGCAAGGCATTTGCAGAGTTAAAAAGGCTGTCAATCCCGGTGGGCATTTCTAGTTCAAGTAGGTAGCCTCCACAACCTAGAGAAAGACAGGGTCTATATGCCGACAGAAGTCCAGTTAGTCTTCTAGAGGATTACGTACATTTCAAAGAGGGGAAAGCACTATCTCGCTAAACTAAATGCTCCACAAAGTGAAAGAGTGACCAAAAAGAGGTCTTGTTGGCTGGTGGCAGTATGGAGGCGACTTCGTAAAGCTTTAGCAGTGAGTGGAAGCATCAAGCGTGATGACCCTTTATCGGGAACTGGAAATCTAGGGCAGGACTTTTAAATTATCGGGTTTTAAAATAAAGGATGGGGCCAGGCATTGGTGGTGCAAACCTTTAATCCCAGAACTCAGGAGGCAGAGGTGGGCAGATCTCTGCGTTGAATGCCAGCCTGAAACAGAGACAGTTCCAGGACAGCCTAAACCAAAACCAGAACCTCCCTCCCCCCGCCAAAAAAAAAAAAAAAAAAAAAATCTAGGGGGACAGGATTGACAGCGGAAGGATGCAAAGAAAACAAGGCTGCGCCATGCTTCCCACCACGCCACAACGAGCATGGCCGCAGCCCTACGCGGTGACGGCACCCAGGAGGCCCTAAAAATTCTGCTCCCAGCAACATAACGATCAGCCGAGGACAAGAACGCAGACGACACGTGGCCGCAGGTTGCTCCAACTTGGCTAACACGGCCCCCCGACTCTTGCTGTCTTCTGCGCAGGCGCAACCTTGGCTGCATGCAGGCGACCGATCCCGGACTGACTACCAGCCAGTCGCCCTGCCCCAAATCACGTAAGAGCACGCAACACAACGCCCGGAACCGCCTCTGCAGCTGGACGTGCGCGCGCAGCGCCTTCCTTGCCTGCCGGGGGCGGGGCCCATCAGGGGGCGGGGCGGGCTCGTGGCAACCATTCCGTCGACCCCGAGACCCGCTGTTCCTGCGGGGCCTGTTCCAGGGTGCCGGCCCGGCAGAGGCACCGACTGCCAGGCGAGGGTGATGTCTTCCAGGTTGTCCTCTGCCTGCTGTCTCTTGGAACGGCGGCCTGGGCTGTGGTGACCCAGGGCGAGAGTGGTAGACTGGACCCTTTCGGTTCTGGAGGCCGGAGACTTGGGGACGAGGAGCTGGACCCTGGCAGCAAGAGTTCGTTCTCCCTGAAGCTTCGGTGGATCCTGGGTCGTCTGGGACTCTGGGGAGGATCACAGTGGGGACGGAGGTGGTGCAGTCAGAGAGGCCACAGCCACCCGTACTCTACACGCTGCGTGAGAGCCAGGATCCCTGTAAAGGGTGGGCAGGATGCGGAGAGCATCGTCTCCTGGAGGCCTAGCCTAGGAGTCCGGACCCTTGGCTACTTGGCGACCTTGGTGAGGATGCCAGGCCCACCCAGAGGCGGCGGAATGCCAGTGAGTTACAGTGGAACATAGCAATCACCAGGCCACAAATAGCCGCTCGAAGTGACCAGTGACCGGTGTCTGCCCCCGTGGGAGGCAAACGGGGAAATCTGACCAGGGTCTCCTTGGTTGATGGTAAAGCCAGGTCTCCTGGAAGGACTCCTTTTAGGGGGCAGGGAGAAGTGTTAGGAAGTCAGGGTGACCATATGAGCATCAGGTGGACAGGGATCTGTAGTCTTTGTCCCCAGGCTGGGACGGGTGTTGGTTCCCAGAATCGTGCAAATAACGGGAAGCAGACCACCAAAGTCTACTAACCAGAAGCAACTTTATTCAAAAATACTGCCGGGGCGCGGGGGCGGTGGGAAGGTACACTTCAAACGAGTTAGAAAATATTTGATTCCCTGAGAAAGGGCTACAAGCTTCTTTTATAGTCAAAGGTTATACACAGGGCCGAGTACATAATGGGATTTACGACATCTTGGCGTCTCAGCTTCTAGTGCTGTCCTCTGAGCTTGAGCTTGGAGATTTATGACATCTCAGGAATGTCCACCTGTGCTCGAACTTGGGGATTTACGACCTCTGATTACCGGGTGTTAGTTCAAAATGTTTACGTAGTCCGTGTGTTCTTTAAATTGCCTTTCCCTTGTGTGGGAAAAATGCAACGCCCTAGTAAACTCAGAAACGTGTATAGGCTATAATCGTACATTTTTTTTTTTTCCAATTCTTGGGCCCTTCGGGAGGACTCTAAGAGCACTGGCTCACCAGTACTGCTTCAGGTCTCCTTAAGCTTCCTCCACAGGTAGGTAGTGTTTCCTGTAGAGTCTGCTTCAGTCCTTCCACAGGTGCTGATTTTACAATTGCGCTCCCTAGGAGAGTCTTTTCTGTGTTTGAGACTGGGTACTGTGTGTAGTGGTCTCTTGAATGAGATGGACAGGCATTGGTGAAGGAGATCAGCAGAAGTGCCCTGGATGATGGAGACTTGGAAACCAAATTGAACCTTGAAAGGGAAGATAGAGTCCGGGACAGAGGTCTCAGAGTTCACAGAGCAGAAGACAGGAAGTTGGGCTTGCATTTTAGAGTCCCCGGGGGATATGGCAACTGCAGGGGAACCATCTTTCATTTGGTGAGGCTGGGGTGAGGGGTGTGTTGAGAAACTTCTGTTAAACATAGGGCCATGAGGTTTAGGCTCAAGACCCCATCAGCCAGTTAACCAGTCATCTTACTAGCTTGTCACCGTAAGGTGAGGTTCCATCAGTAGCTGTAGGAAGCCAGCTACAAGACAGCAAATGGCAGGCCAGCTAGAAGTGTTTGCTATGTTGTGCCGCTTAAACTAAAGCCTCAGGATAGCTGGGCCTTCCAAGAGGAGGAAGTAAAGGTTCAGAGAGGCTCTAACCTGCTCAAGTTAACACAGTTTGTAAATGCTTTGGAACTTGAATTATTTCAGGAGAGTAACTCAGTTTACCATGTATTTAAGGACATTGTAAAAGAGGATGAGATTTTGAACTATTTTCCCAGAAAGTGGTCATCAACAGTTTTCAGTGATAGAAGTGATTATCAAATGACAATTTCTTGCTCAAAGAACTAGACATAAATTTTCTTATATCTTTGGCATTTGTCTCTGAGTAGATTAGAAAATGACCAGGCCTTTAATCCCAGCACTCGGGAGGCAGAGGCAGGTGGATCTCAGTGAGTTCGAGACCAGCCTGATCTCCAAAACTAGTTCCAGGACAGCCTCCAAAGCCCAGAGGAAAAAAAAAAGGAAAGAAAGAAAGAAAACGACCTGGATAAGCAAATTGTTGCCTTAATGAGTTTCACTAAAGGTAAACTAATTATGCTTATCATTGGGGGAAGTCTTACCATTATTGTTTCCATGAGAATATCATCTCATAAAAGCTATTCAGAAACTTTTGAAAACTGCTAAGAAATGAAATGTAATTTGACTCTGTGTGTCTATGTGAGGTGTTTTTTTTTTGTTTTTTTGTTTTTTTTGTTCTTAATAATGTGCATATGTCTTCGTTGGGGTACGTGCTTGTGAATGCATGTGCCTGAGAAGTTAGATCTCCTAGAACTGGAGTTTAAAGGCAGTTGTGAATCACCCAATGTGGGTGCTAAGAGTTAAACTTGGGTCCCCTGCAAAATCAGTATGTGCTCTTAACTGTTGAGCCATCCCTCCAGCCCTATGTGTTTTGTTTGTTTGCTTCCTTCATTGTTTTTTTGATAGATTCTCATATAGTTCAGGCTGGCCTCAAAATTGCTGTGTAGCTAAGATTGGTTTTGCACACCTGCTCTTCCTGTCTCTGCCTTCTAAGTGTGGGTTGTACCTGGGGTTATAGATCATGATACCACGTCCAGCTGTGATTTGAATCTTTCAATGAGAAAAATTGGGTTTGGTAGGTACTGTTTATCTTCTCAAGAACTAGTCTAATTCAATTTTCAAGTCCCGTTTCTTCAGGGATTATTCATACATGAGCTTTATTAATTCTTGTTTCTGTTTTCAAAGCTGTTTTCAGAAGGAAGATGGAAAGTGGCACAGTTTTGCTGGAATCCAAATCTTCACCGTTGCATCTTCTTCATGAGATGCATGAGCTCCGACTTTTGGGCCATCTTTGTGACGTCACAGTCAGTGTAGAGTATCAGGGTGTCTGTGAAGACTTCATGGCCCATAAAGCAGTGCTGGCAGCCACCAGCAAGTTTTTTAAGGAGGTGTTCCTGAACGAGAAGAGAGTAGATGGTACCAGGACTAATGTCTGCTTAAAGGAAGTTCAGGTTGTTGACTTTGCTTCATTTCTGGAGTTTGTCTATACTGCCAGGGTGCAGGTAGAGGAAGATCGGGTGCAGCGGATGCTAGAGGTGGCTGAAAAGCTAAAGTGTTGGGACCTGTCTGAAACATGCTTTCATCTAAAGAAGCAGATGCTGGAGTCAGTCCTTTTGGAATCACAGAATTTCTTTGTGTCTCAGGAGGTGGAGGCCAGCAGTGGCCCCCATGTGAGTGTGACCCCCAGCTCCAAAGCAAGCATACCAGGGGAGGAGGCTCACTCCAGTGGCCTTGTAGATACCTCTGACTATCTGATAGAGAGATTTGATAATGACCTCTTGCCAGAAATGCCATCCAGGAAGTGCAAGGAGAAACTGGACAAGAAGAAAGATGTGGCTAAGCCTCCCTACCCTAAAATCAGAAGACCTAGTGGGAGGCTGGCTGGAAGGAAGGTGTTTGTGGAAATCCCTAAAAAGAAATATACAAGAAGGCTCCGAGAACAGCAGAGAAGTGCGGAGGAAGCTGCAGAGAATGACAGGTGTTCCCAGAACCAAAGTCCAGACACTGAAAGGCTGGAGACAGAGCCAGCTTCCAAAAGTGAGGCTTGCTCTAGTGGTGTGAAACTGGAGGAAAGCCAGCAGAAAGTAGAGGGGGAGAAGGAGGAGGAAGGGAAGGATGGGGAGAAGAAGAGTAATTTCCGGTGCACAGTGTGTGAGAAGGCCTTCCTGTATGAGAAGAGTTATCTGAAACATATCAGGCACCACCACGGTGTGGCCACGGAGGTAGTGTACCAGTGTGACACGTGTGGCCAGACCTTCGCCAACCGCTGCAACCTGAAGAGCCACCAGCGCCATGTGCACAGCAGCGAGCGCCACTTCCCATGCGAGATGTGTGCAAAGAAATTCAAGCGTAAGAAGGACGTGAAACGGCACGTGCTGCAGGTGCATGAGGGTGGTGGCGAGCGGCACCGATGTGGCCAGTGTGGCAAGGGCCTGAGCTCCAAGACTTCTCTGCGGATGCATGAGCGCACGCACACGGGCGACAGGCCCTATGGCTGTACCAAGTGTGAGGCTAAGTTCTCACAGCCCTCAGCGCTCAAGACCCACATGAGGTGCGGCTGCCTGGGAACATGGCTGTGTGGAGCAGGGCTGGCCTGCATGCAGGGACTTGGGTTCCCAAGTGCTGAAGTGCATGGGTGTTAGGAGATGCCTTTAGGACTTGGACCAGCATGTCTGTGTCTGTAGCTCTGCATTTCCCCCCTGGTGCCATCTAGGACTTGGGCAATTGAGGCAACTTGGAATCTCTTTGGAGGTGTGGAGGTCTGGGAAATGGTTCTTCAACTTCTCATCTTGCCAATCCTCCCAAGCATAGAGGCCAGGGCACAACAGAGCTTTCCAGAACTCTGGGCGCTATGTGCCTGGCCTCCAGGTGGCCTGAGGTCTCAAGGTGCTCTGTACTTAAATAAGAACTGGGCTTTTTCTTCACTCAGTTCCATTGAAATTCAGTGAGATGATACATAGTATTGAAGGATACTTCTCTAGTGGTCTTAGTTCGTAGGGCTTGGAAAGTGCCATTCATTGGTTGGTCTCTAAGAATTAAGATCTAAGAATCAGACAACACTTTTTAATTTTTTTAGAAAGATGTATTTATTTTTAGTTCATGTATATGGTGTTTTGCCTGCATGTACATTTGTGTACCGTGTAAGTGCCTGGTGCCCTCTCAGGTCAGAAGACAAATGTCAGATCCCTTGAAACTGAAGTAACCAATGGTTGTGAGCCACATGTGGGTGCTGGGAACTGAACCAGTGTTGGTTCTCTGTCAGCACAGCAAGTGCTCTTAACTGCTGAGCCATCTCTCCAGCCGCTGAGTAATGCTTTCTATTTTTTCAGACTGTAGGTGGATAGTGAGTTCTTATATCTAAGTTTCCTTACAGTTTTTTCTTTGTTGTTGTTTTAGACCAGCAGCTCTCACCCTGGGAGTTGCAACCCCTTTGGGGGGTGTCCAATGACCCTTTCACAGAGTTTAAGTATCAGATAGCCTGCATTACAATTCATAACAGTAGCAAAACTACAGTAATGAAGTAGCAATGAAAGTAATTTTATGGTTGGCAGTCACCACAACATGAGGAGTTGTATTAAAGGATTCACAGCGTTAGGAAGGTTGGGAACCGCTTTTTTAGACAGTGTCTCACTGTTGTGTAGTCCTTGTTGGTCTGAACTTGGCTTTGCTTTGTGCTTGCTTTGGATTTTCAGAGATGGGCCTGCCTCTGCCTCCTAAGTGCTGGGATCAAAGGCATGTGCCACTTTATAGTTCTAAGTATATATGGTCTCACTCCAGTCAAGCAGTTGAGTTTCCTAATGTAGTCTACATTTGCCTTCCAACCTAGAATAGACTGTCAGGGGGACCATGGTGGCTGTCATTTTTCAGTTTGCTTGAGTTCAAAGTACTTGTAGAACATACTCAGCAGATCGTGGCTGATTGCTACACCATGCTGGTTGAAACTGAAATATTCCGTGTGGTTCTCAGCAATTAGAGAGCAATTTTCTCTTTAAACTGACTGGTCATGTGTTAGGACATGGTGGTAAAATGTTTGGTCATGTGGTATTTTGTCAGCAATAGTTCCTAAGGTTATTCCAAATAAGGGAGCTTCAAATGTTAAGTGATACTCTTTAATACTAAAATATTCAAAGGCACACTGTGTGCCTTCCAGTGTTTCACAGCATAAATAAGGCCTAGGAGAGATGTAGGAGCTGCCCGGTGGTTCTACTGTTGTACGTGGACTGAAGTGGAAATAAGAGTCCTTGGGGCTTGAACAGAAACTCCATTTGTTTTAGGATGTATGGTAAACTTTGTTTTTTTCAAGATGGGGTTTCCCTGTATAGCTCTGGCCATCCTGGAACTTGCTCTATAGACCAGGCTGGTCTCAAAATCAGACTCACCTGAGTCTGCCTCCTAAGTGCTGGGAATAAAGGTGTGGGCCACCAGCCCCCAGCATATGGTGGACTCTGGACTCTTAATCTGTCTCATCCGTCATTTTTCTGAGCTCTCTTGGAGGAAATGTTTGGAAAATTTTTTTTTTTTTTTTTTTTTTTTTTTTTTTTTTTGCACAATACAGAGGAAATTGGAAATTGTATTACAAAGTGACCTTTGAAATATACCCTGAGTTATCATCTGAATGTTGTACTTTCAGAATTCATACAGGGGAAAGACCTTTTGTCTGTGATGAGTGTGGTGCAAGATTCACTCAGAACCACATGCTGATTTATCATAAAAGGTGCCACACAGGTAAATACCACGCTCTTGTGATTGACTGTCTTTCCTAGCTATAGAAGGAAACTGCAGTTGCTTTTTAGAAGCTGATATCTGCCACAGCAGTGCAGGTTACAAAGTTTTTCCATCTAGTAAGGAAGGATCGGATCCACCTGCTGCCTGTAATGCTGCTTGCTGTACACATGGCATGGCGTGTGCCACGAGGTGCTAACATGGGGCACACGGGTCTTAGACTTCTAGAAATATGAAACAGTTCCTATTGTTGCAACTCTTAAGTCCATTTCTAGGAGTCTGTCCTAAAGAAATTATCCAAAGCCTGAGAAAAGCTGTGTGGTCAGCTCTCTCCTTGCTGTGTTGTTCCCAAACTTGGGAATAACATGATGGGCCAACTACAAGGAAATGTTTCAGTAGGCTGGAAATCCATGCCCCAGCTCATGACATGGCCTCAGAGGAACGACTCTTGAATTGCATGGGCGCATCTGTGCTTGAATGTTGACTATACAGTGAACAGCTAAGCATGGTCAGTGCCAACTGTTGAAAACCTGGGCAAAAACCAAGAACAAATACATACGTGAGAAATAATCATATTAAGAGATAATATCTCTTTTATAAATCTTTGTGATAGTTTGCCATGAGAGGGAAAGTTTAAGCTGGCTTTATTCTGGTTCAGCATTGCATTCCTGTGGTTGAAAATTTTGATGTAAAATACAGGACACAGAACCTAGTCCATCACTGTATACTGTACTCACTCACCCAGGCCTTCCTTTACTTACACTATTTATTACATCTAAGCACTCACACAGGCCTCAGGTTCAAGTACAGTCCTGACAGATGAGGAGTGGACCATGTATTACTGGAATGCAGAACACCCATGGAAGCTGTGGAGGAGTCATTGTCACATCACAGATTTAACTAGAGTTGGTCATTGATTATGACTATTAATGTTTTAAAATTTTATGAAAGACAATGTTTTAATGTTTGTAAAATCAGGATTGTATGAGTGGGTTGTGAGAATAAAGGAAGAACTTAAAATGACAAAAAGTGAGGTTTCATTGAAATTGTCCTGCAGTCAAGTTGACTGGTGTCACTAGCCTAGGAGCCACTTGGTAATCCATTGTGAAGGACTTTTATTCTGATTAAGAGGTGCAGAAACACTTGTTGAAAATAATCCAGCAAATCCCCAAAAGTTATAAAATTTTCCTATTTTCAATAACTACATTTATTAAATCTGAGCTGGCTTAACAGTTACCATTGATTCTAGTCCAGTGAATTGCTGTTTGGATTTCCCAGTATATTCACCACTTTTAGCAAGTAGCAAGAGTAGTATGTTTGATGTTTGATTAGAAAGTGTCCAATGCTGCTTGCCAAGGTGTAAAGAGGAGAGCAGTTTTTCCAGGTGTTTTTAATGACTATGTTGTTCCTACTTTTGTCTCATCTTTCCATGTAGGTGAAAGGCCTTTTATGTGTGAGACATGTGGCAAGAGTTTTGCTTCCAAGGAGTACTTAAAACACCATAATAGAATCCACACTGGATCTAAACCCTTTAAATGTGAAGTGTGTTTGCGGACCTTTGCCCAGCGGAATTCCCTTTACCAGCATGCTAAAATCCACACAGGTATGGATGGCTGCATAGTACCAGAGAAGAGTTCAGTCTGGCAAGGGAAACAGTTCACAAGTTTTAGATTTATTGGAAAGTCACTTTGAGAATGTTGCTTTGGTTATTACTATAACTGTAATAGCTTCCCCGGGAGGACAGATAGTGGCTCAGAGTTTCCAAGGGTTCATTCTCTCATGGTGGGAAGAGCATGGCCAGGCCCATGGCAGCAGGAACTTAGGAAGTTTCCTCACATTGTGTAGACTAGAGAGGGCTAGCTGGAACCAGAGGCTGGTATAATGTTGAAGATCTGCTCTGCTAACCTGCTTCCAGCCATCGAGGAAATAGCCAGTTCCATAAAGATTCTACAGCCTTCAAAACTGAGCAGCTTGAGCACCAAGCACAATGACCCTGTGAGACCCAGTTCAAATTTGTTCTGAGTCGAAGTTTTAGGAGAAAAAACATGGTTAAACTTTGTTATAATAGCATTTTTTTAAGTGATTTTTTGAAGTTAAAGTATAATTACACATTGATAGTATTTTTAAACCTTTTCATCCCCCTCCAGGGTTTTTGATTGAAATATAGCTTTGCACATGCTATATGAATGATGTGCCAATACATTAATTAGTGGACCCTATTTTTGTTTTCTTTTTTGAGATAGATTTTCTTTTTGTTTGTTTGTTTGTTTGTTTTTGTTTTTGTTGTTGTTTTGTTTTTCAAGACAGGGTTTATCTGTGGCTTTGGAGGCTGTCCTGGAATTAACTCTTGTAGACCAGGTCGGTCTCAAACTCACAGAGATCCCCCTGCCTCTGCCTCTGCCTCCTGAGTGCTGGGATTAAAGGTGTGTGCCACCACTGCTCGGTGAGGTAGATTTTCTTATAGCCCTTGAATTTGCTATGTAGAATGACCTTCAATTCTTTCTCTCTCTACCCTTTAAGTGCTAGCTACTGAGCTGGCTTCCCACCTAGTTTTTATGCTTTTGAGTTTAGTTTCTGTTTTTGTTGCTGTCTTTTTGTTGTTGTTGTTGTTCATTTTAATTAAGTTTATTTTGTGCATGTAAGTGTGTGGGTGACTGAGTACCCTGACACACATGGAGCTCAGAGGACAACATGTGAGAGTTGGTTCTTGCCTTTTACCATGTGGGTCCTGGAGATTGAACCCAGTTCTTCAGACTTGGTAGCCTTTACTCACTGAGCCACCTTTTAGGCATAGTTTCTGGTTTTGATAAAGTGAAAAGTGAGAAGACTTTAGTATGCAAATGGGGGACAGTCTTTGGCAGCATGGGGTATTTATTGAAAGGGCACATAGCTTCCTGTGATATGACAGCTTGAGTGTGTATGTTTGTATGGATCCACGCCTTTCAGATATAAACAGGGATAAAGAATGGGTATTAGTGTATATACGTGCACACAAACATGCTATTTGTTACTAGGACAGTGTATTACTACGGATAGTAGGTTTGTATTTTCACAGATACAGTATCAGCTCCCTGCACAGAATTGACCTATTTTGGATACAGTCTTGTTCTTGGGTATTGTAGTATAGTAGATTGGTGCCTCTACCAGGTGCCTCTACCTTGAGTCATTGTAATGTAGCTTCCCTTATGGGGGAGTGCTCAGATTATCCAGGGTATAGATGTGTATCCAGAGTTAAATAAAGTGGACTGAAGAAGTCATTGAGTAGTTTCCGTCTCTTTCCGTGTCCAGGAGAGCGGCCTTATTGTTGCGACCAGTGTGGGAAGCAGTTCACCCAGGTAAATGCCCTCCAGCGCCACCATCGAATCCACACGGGAGAGAAACCCTTCATGTGCAATGCGTGTGGAAGGACATTTACTGACAAGTCCACTCTCCGGAGGCACACCTCAGTAAGTGATGGGAGGCACACCTCAGTAAGTGATGGGTAGGCTGTTTACAAACAAAGCCCTTCTGGTCTGTAGGTTGCTTACCCTAAATACCTGTCTTATTCTAGTCCAGGGGGTCAAAGGTGGTAAGAGGTTCTCTCCTTAGGTGTCCTGCAGTGACATCCAGGGAATAAGGTGAAGGACTAAGGCTCCTTACTGCCAAATTTGTGCCAAACACTTATGTGCTGTGGTTCCTGTACAAAGTAGTTATTTGGTAATTAGTTCAGGGGAGGCTCATTAGAAAGCAAATTTAAAAGTCAGGGAGAACTTTTGTTTAATATTTACTTTTTGATCGAGAGACAGTCTAGCTCTATAGTTCAGGCTGACCTTAGACCCATGCATAACCTTCCTATCTTTGCCTCCCATGTGCTGGGATTATGGTTTTTTTTTTTTTGTGTGTGTGTGTGTGTGTGTGTGTGTGTGTGTGTGTGTGTGTGTGTGTGTGTGTGCTCGTTTTTTCTTTTTTTGGTTTTTTGAGACAGGGTTTCTCTGTAACTGTGGAGCCTGTCCTGGAGCTTGCTCTGTAGACCAGGCTGGCTTCGAACTCACTCTGCTTCCCGAATGCTGTTTTTGTTTTTGTTTTTAATGGGTGTGTGCCATGGTGCCAGTCCCTGAAGAAAGCATGTTGTTTTAAAAGATGAACATGTTATTAATAAGTATTTGTAAATTGGGAGACTTAGAGACACATGCAGTGACTGTTTTACTTGTAGATACATGATAAGAATACGCCGTGGAAGTCTTTCCTTGTCATTGTTGATGGCTCACCCAAGAATGATGGACACACAGAACAACCCGATGATGAATATGCATCAACCAAACTTTCAGATAGATTACTATCTTTTGGCGAAAATAGCCATTTTAACAACCTATTGGAAGTTCAAAGCAATGTGCCTGCCATGCAGGAGAATAGTTCTACAGACACTGCTTGCAAAGCAGTGGTGTCTCAGGATGCTCTGCTTACCACCACCATCAACGAGCTTGGTGAGCTGACTCCACAGCCAGGCTCAATGACCACACACCTTCCCTCGTTGACCAATATGGAGTGAGAGCTTCAAGCTGTGTGCCGAACAGTCTGTGTGATTGCTGTATTCCAGGTGATGCCAGGGGCTGAGAAAAAAAGTTGTCTGTGCAAAGATAGAGGCAAGACTGGCCTTGAATATTTCCCCAAACTTCCGTGACCTTGCACGTCTGTTTCACACTTAAAGCTTTTCCATAAACATTATGATCTGCATGATCTCAGCTATATTTCATTAACAAACATGGCAGTTAACACAACTCACTTAGCCCTGGTGTAGCTATACGTGTCAATCACACTTATGCTTGATGTCTAAACCACTGCTTGTCTTAATCACAGAGTACATAGCATTGACCCAACTTAGGAAACTGCTGTCTGCGGTCTCTTGGTCTCGCCCTGCCTTATACTTCCATGTGTATTTACTTCACTCTGATCCTTTTGGGGAACTTTTCTACAAAGTTAAAGTAAAACTGGGGCCATATTTCAGCTGTTTCTTCCTTACTGAGATAAAAGCAAATAAGATTGTTTTGGAGACATTAAGATGGTACTGAAGATTGCTTTTGTTCCTCCCCAACCCCCTATTTGTATGCACGAAAAGAGGAATGACAAATTGAACATTTTCAGTGTAGTACCTCAGCATGTGTGCAGGCAGGGAGTCTGTCGTAAAGTCCAACCTGGGATGAGATGTGGCCGTTCAATTTCATTCCCTAAATCAGATTAATAGAAGCTGTCCTACCAAAGAATCTATCAAAACAGTTGTCTCTCTCGTTTGCAGAGGTGTGAGAAATGAAGAGGAGGCATCAGAGCTTTTGACTAGTCACATTTTCACAACCAGCATGTTGAGTGAGCCTGACAAATCTCAAGTACTTCTGCCAGACTTTTCTATAATGTTCAGAGTCCCCACAGCACCCATTTCCACAGTGCAAGGTGACATAGACTAGTACTTGCTACAAATCCACCTCTTTAGAAGCATGTAAGAATCTAGAGCAGTGGTTTTCAACCTGTGTGTATTGACCCCTTCGGGGGTCAAGGGACCCTTTTCATGGGTTTGCATATTATATTTACATTATAATTCAGAACAGTAGCATAATTACAGTTATTTAAATAGCAACAAAAGTAACTTTAAGGTTGGGGGTCACCACAACATGAGGAACTATATTAAAGGGTCGAAGCATTAGGAAGGTTGAGAACCACTGATCTAGAGGGTACCAGAAGCCTTGGCTTGCTCAATTCCTATGCCTTAACAAGTGGATAAAAGAACGGCAAATGTCTCAAATGTTCCTTGGCTTTCTCATGCAGAATTTTAATTATTGCTCAACAAACTTCACTATGGGAAACGTATTTTGTGGCATTTGCTATTCCTGATGTATGGTTGTAGGGCCTTGGATAGGTGGACATTGGCCACCTATGACCCTTAAAAGCATTAATTTTATGAGCGCCTTAATGGGAGAATTATTCTGCTTTCTAGTTGTTTTTCCTGTTTTGAACTTACTAAGCTTGCTGTGAGAACACTCTGGTTTCTAAGATGAAGGTACCTTAAGTTCAGGGTGAAGAAGACAGCATTATACAAACTAAGGGTTTTTCCCCAGTGCCAACTTGTGGTAACACCTTCAAGAAGCTGTTGAAGCCACCAAAAGGTGTTCCAGGCACTTGTAATATTTCAGACTTGCTCTTGAAGGTTCAGAATTGAATTATCTCATTCAGTTATGACCTGGCTATCCTAATTGTGTTTACAGACAAAAAAAAAAAAAAAAAAAAAAAGACTAGTGACTGGCACATGACCATTTTAACTGGTAAGAGCAAACCCGCCCAGCTGATAAACTGTTATGGAATAAAGTCATCTAGATGAGAAGGAATTTAAACAATAGATTATTTTGTTACCTATTGGGAGAACTGTCTTGAATTTGTTTCTTTAGAAGTTCTAAATAAAATTGTTTAATGTGTTAATGTCTTTGTAAAGGTTCTGTAACTCTAAATTTAATTACATTACTATAACAGGGTCTGTAGAAAAAAAGATTCTTAATTGAAATTAGTCTAATTTGTTTAATAGCATGAACACTAAAATTCAACATCAGGGACTGTAGACCTTTATTTATATAATTACCACATGTGATTGATTTAAGTTCCTGAACTCCACAGTGGCAGAAGAATGGCCCCTGCTCAGCAGTGGCCAGTGTTGAGCTGGGGAGTGTATGTAAGGGCACTCTAACCTTCTCTGCAGTGCAAAGTCACAGCAGGCATTAAGTGCCATGTTGCTTATATACATTTTTTTTGTCTCTTTTCCCAAGAGGACATAAAACTTGGAGTTATCACCACTTTGTGGTGTCTTCCTATCAATCCAAGCAGTTACTATGAGAAAGCAAGACTGCTTTCAGTGGGTTGGTCCCAAATGTGTTCTGACAGCACACTGCTCTCAGCTCATCAGTAAGGGTTACTGAAGAGGGGACCTGATGCCATCCCAAGCATTTTTAACGCAGCCTGGAAGAACCAGCTTCCAGGCTGCATACAGGGCTCAAAGGAAAAGTCCACAGTAGCACGAACTGAGACTTTTTTATCTGAGGGTGTTAGGAAAAAGACATTCATACGTTCTCTTGATTGTTCCCTCTTTAGTCTTTTATGTTGTTGTGTCTTCTTTTGTTCTCCACAGCTTGTATATACCCAACAAAATCTTTCAGGCAATATAGGAGTCACACACAGAGGTCACATTCCAATTCTTAAAGTGAGTAAAAACAGTCATCCCCACAACGCATATGCAATATATCTAAATAACTTGTCACAATTGAGGAAGGAGCATTTTTTTCTTTGCCAACTCTTACTGGCAGGCTGCAAACTGTGGTAGTTAAGATTCAATCATTTTGTTGTCTAGAGAGGTAATTTTTTATTTTTTTTTCTTCGAGACAGCGTTTCTCTGTGGCTTTGGAGGATGTCCTGGAACTAGCTATTGTAAATGAGGCTGGTCTCAAACTCACAGAGATCCACCTGCCTCTGCCTCCCAAGTGCTGGGATTAAAGGCGTGTGCCACCACTGCCTGGCATGAGAGATAATCTAAGGAATTTTAAAGGAGTTATAAACCTAAACTACTGAGAAGTCTCAGAAAACAAGGAATTTGTGGGTTATAGCCTATACCTTCTGAGTGTATAAACATTTTGAACTAATATTCTGTGATCAGAAGTCATAAATGCTGGGCTTTCTCTCTTGGACTCAGAGTGCCGTGTTTAGACAGAAAGGTGTTATAAATTCTTTAGTTTGGGTTCAGATTACTGTAAATCTTAGGAACAACTCAGTTGTACTTCCAAGGCATGGTGACACTAATAATACTTAAATCTCAAAAGGAACTTTCTATCCTGAGTGTAACTCAAGACCATAAAGAGAAACTTATAAATCTTTCTTGGGGCTGTAAGTCAAATTATTTTCTGTAGCCCCAACCAGTTAGAATATCCTTTTCCCCCACAGCGTTTGTTTCTAGACCTCAGGTTCTTGTTCCCTGTCACTTGCAGAATTCCAGGACCCAACTTTTTTTTTTTTATTAGTTCAAATTAGGAACAAGCTTGTTTCACATGTCAATCCCTTCTCCCTCTCCCTCCCCTCTCCCCTCCTACCCCACCCCGACCTACTCCCCACCCCATCCACCTTCCACTCCCAAGGCAGGGTAGGGCCCTCAACGGGGGCTCCTCAAAGTCCACCACATCATCCTGGGCCCGGCATGTGTCCAGGGCAAGAGTGCATCCCTTCACTCTTGAGATGGGCTCCCAAAGTCCCTTCTTACTCTGGTTTCTCTTCAGATCAAATAAATCTTTCGCCTTTTTTTTTTTTTAAGATTTATTTATTTATTATGTGTACAACATTCTGCCTCCATGTATTCCTGCATGCCAGAAGAGGGCACCAAATCATATTATAGGTGGTTGCGAGCCACCATGTGGTTGCTGGGAATTGAATCAGTGCTCTTAAAACGTTGAGCCATCTCTCCAACCTCAGGACCCAACATTTTTATACATAAAAATCAGTTTGCTGAACTTTGAGTCTTCAGGTTACATACCCATATCATAAAACTGAGGTTAGGAATTTGTGCAGTGTTAAATCATTATCCTAGGTTACCAGCCAGACCTAGCAAAGAAACCATGTAGCAATTACATTACTTTGCACTTTTAACCCTAGCTCAACAAACCAGACAGCTCAGCTATATGCCCTTATCGTCTAGATTGCTTTTCTAGGAATAGTTTATCTTAAAAACCATTAGCAAGGTATCTGGTCTAATCTAAAGCAATTTTGAAGCTTTATATCAGCTAATAGAGCACAGTTATCCTGGCAGCTGTGGAAAATTCAGCTATTTTCCTAACCATCAACGTGAGCTGTGATTTAAAGAAGCTTTTAGGGGGAACTCATAGGCCTTGACTGTGTACCATTTCTTTGTATTTATTATTATTCATCAGAACTCTGTATAAGCTAACATTATAATATCAACTAGATAATACAGATTAAGGAGAGTTTATCTTCTTGACAATCCACAGATAAAAGTGCCCAGTAGATGGGGATGTACTCATGAGATAAACACACTATGATACAAGGAAAATTTGCAGCTGCACATGTGAAGTTACAGACAGAAGCAAAAGAAATTCCAGGGTTTGGTCAGGTGGTGGTGGTGCATGCCTTTAATCCCAGAACTTGGGAGGCAGAGGCAGGTGGGTCTCTGTGAGTTCCAGGACAGCCAGGGCTATCTTGAAACCACCCCCACCACCACCAAAAAAAAAAAAAATTTCTTGTGGTCTTGCCTAAAGGGGTTTTTCCTATCAGAGAATTCTCCTCCTGGTGGGCTGACACCTTAAATACTAATTACCATTTGCTGGTTTATTTTTTTTGTTTGTTTGTTTTTTGTTTGTTACTTTGTTTTGGTTTGTGGTTTTTCAAGACAGGGTTTCTCTGTGTAGCTTTGGAGGCTGTCTTGGAACTTGCTCTGTAGACCAGGCTGGCCTTGAACTCACAGAGATCCAGAGGCCTGTCTCTGCCTCCCAAGTGTTGAGATTAAAAGTGTGAGCCACCACCACCTGGCCTATCTGCTGTTCTTATGACATGACCCTCAGCACATTTTGTGTTACAACATAGTCCAAACTCCAGAGGACTCCACAGCCTTTGGTTTTACCAAAGATTTTTGTAATGGTTTAAAAAGTGGACCAGAAAGTAGTGAGAACCTTGGGAGTGTAGATTATAATTTAATTTTCAAAAGATTGTATGTCTGTATACTGCATGCACGCCTGGTGCCCAAGGAGGCATCAGATACCCTGGAACAGGACTTACACAGACAGTTGTGAACCAGTCCTCTTAGTAACCAAGTCTTGTCTCCAATCACACCTTTAACTTGTTTAATGTTCCACCACTGAACTGTTCACTCTGGCCATTCAGAGTAAGGAAGCCAACCAAGGAGAGACACTGGGGTAGACAGACCTGCAATGACCAATTTCTGATGGCCTACTGCACATTCATTTTAAGTTGTGAATCACAGCTCTGGCAAAGTTCTGTGACTCAGTGAGTGGCAAGGGTCTGTACTTCCCACTTCCAAGGGCAGCTATAGTTCCCTGTGGAGATACCTGCTTACAAGATTAAAAAGGCCACATAACCTTTTTTGCTCTTTTCGGGGAAGGAGAACATTGGGCTTCCAGGTACTTCCCAGAATGCAACAGTTTCCAGCAGCCCCCCCCCCACCTTTTTCGAATTAGAAACAAGATTGTTTTACATGTCAATCCCAGTTCCCACTCCCTCCCCTCCTCCCCTACAACTCCCCCCCAACTAAAACCCTACCTATCACAAATCCTTTCTGTTCCCCAGGGAGGGTCAGGCCTTCCATAGGGGGTCATCCGAGTCTATCATATCCTTTGGGATAGGGCCTAGGTCCACCCCCGTGTGCCTTGGCTCAAGGAATATCCCTGTATGTGAATTGGGCTCCCAAAGTCCACACCTATGCTAGGGATAAGTACTGAACTTATCTACAGGAGGTCGTGTAGATTTCTGAGGTCTCCTCACTGAAACCCACATTCCTGGGGTCTGGATCAGTCCCATGCTGGTATCCCAGCTATCAGTCTGGGGAGCAAGTTCCCCGATGTTCAGGTCAGCTGTTTCTGTGGGTTTCACCAGCCTGGTCTGGACCCCTTTGCCCATCACTCGTTGTTCTCTGCAACTGGATTCCAGTTCAGTTCAGTGATTAGTTGTGGGTGTCTGCTTCTACTTCCACCAGCTGCTGGATGAAGGCTATAGGATGGCATATAAGACAGTCAGTCATCAATCTCATTATCAGGGGAGGGCATTTAAGGGTGCCTCTCCTCTGTTGCTTAGATTGTTAGCTGGTGTCATCTTTGTAGTTCTCCAGACCTTTCCCTAGTGCCTGAGTTCTCTGTAAACCTAAAATGTCTCCCTCTGTTATGGTATCTCTATTCTTGTTATCTTCTATTCTTCCCCCACTCAACCTTTCTGCTCCCTCCTGTCCTCCTCACCCCTTAGCAGCCCCTTTTTTGTCTGCCTTGCAAGTGACAGTGAAGCTCAAAGGATTCAAGGAAGGGAAGACATGAGCTTAGCAGCCACTGGCCCTTGACTTGCAGCAAGAGAGGATACCAGGGTTTCCTTCTACCTCAGGCAGAAGAACTATCAGGTGAGCACAGCACAGAAAGCCTTTTCAGTACTGTAAACTTGAGGGGAACAACTTCAAAGCAATTAGTTCTGACCTGAGTCAATTTAGCTAGCAAAGACTAGTCAAACTAGTACTGATAATTTCCACTTTATTTACTGTACAAGTTCACATTAAAACATCCTTTCAGCTTAGATAGATTTATTGTTACATGGTTATTTTTTACAATGTGCTCCCTTGCCTGAGAGCAACTTAGGACTTCATAGGGCCTGCTTCTGGTCCCAGTTCACACTGCAGCAGGCAGGTCACGGGCATGCTGTGCTGCCAGATCCTCTAACAGTCACAAAGGTTTGTATTTGGACATTTTAAGTACACAACACCAGAGGGAACAACAAATGCACAAGGGCTGGTGCATATACTTTGGTTATAGTGACACTACCACACATGGTTACAACTGTGCAAAAAATACTGTTTTATGTCATTAAATAAAAAAGGAATTCACACAAGCTATAAAAATGTTGCCACTAAAGCAAAGCTTCTTGACTGACATAACTATGAACTATTCCAAGATTCTCTCAAGTATGAACTATAACAAATGATCACTGTGTTTTGTTAGTATTATTCTAGAGACCTTGAAAGTCTAAGCCTAGGCATATTGAGACAGTGCACTGCCCAGTGACCACAGGACATTTGGAGGAAGTAAGCTTGCATATTACTGTCTAGACATTTCCTCATTTTACCTTCTGCCAGGTCTGTTACTTTTCCTGCCTCAGCCTCCCAAGTGCTGGGACACAATAAACTTGAGTACTGACTGATCTTAGCCTTTCCTTTTTTTTTTTCTGAGATAAGGTCTCACATTGTAACCCAGGCTGGCTTCAAACTCTAAGCAATCTTCCAACTTTATCCTCTTAAGTACTATAGGACTACAAGTGTTCATGATGCTTGTCCAAGCACTTAACTTCAGTAAAAGCAAATAACTGGAAGAATATAAACAATACTTTAAACACCCAGCACTTCTCTAGAGAGGTATGCTAAGGAATTGTGATGAAAGGTAAACCAAAGAGTCTTACAAGATACCATATGGGTTTTAAATGGTCACACCAGAAGAATGAATTAGGGCAGAGTTCAGATACTGGCCAGTGTTCAAATGCTCTCCCATCGGAACTGACTTACAGAAATTTACACGCTTTATTCCCAAGGCTGCCTGTAGCTGGTTGTGAATAAAGCAATAACTCACTTTTCTATAAACCAGAGCTTTAAAAACCCTTATTTATTTGTAAGTGTATGCGTATTTGTCTACATGTACGTCTGTGCACCACATGCATGCCTGGTGCCTGTGGAGGTGAGAAGAGGATGGTGGGTCCCTTAGGACTGGAGTTGCAGACAGCTTTGAGTCCCCCATATGACTGCTGGGACTTAAACGGGCCCTCTGGAAGAGTAGATGAGATTCTCTCTCTAGCCTCAATAACTCACTTTTCTCTGTCTTTTCATAAGAGATTCTGATGGAGTCAAGAAAGATCTACTAGGCTGGAGTGCAAATTTTACCTTTGGTCCAGCCAGTTATCATTCAGAAAACCCAAAAAGCATTGATAGAAAAAGGAATCCTCATCAGATTCTTGGGCATATTCCCTCTTTTCCAGACATGCAGAGGCCTCTGAGCTTCCTGCACACACACCCTGTTACAACCATGACAGAGGCAAAGTCTTCAAAGTGCCTGACAGACACCTACCACCTGTCCTCATGGACCAATTGCAACTTCATCTCCTGCTAATTTTTTCCTTAAAAATAATTTTAAAAGATTTTTTTTTTGAGACAGGGTTTCTCTGTGTAGCTTTGGAGCCTATCCTGGCACTCACTCTGGAGACCAGGCTGGCCTCGAACTCACAGAGATCTGCCTGCCTCTGCCTCCCGACTGCTGGGATTAAAGGCATGTATCACCAACACCTGGCTTAAAAGATTCATTTTTTTATACAAAAGTGTTTTGCCTATATGTACACATATATTCACTTATCTGTGTGTGTTTATCTGTACGCATGTACTTATTGAGGGAAGAAGAGGGTACCAGCGCTACCGGAGGAACTGGAGTTACGGATGGTTTTGAACCACCCACCATGGGTGCCCGGAGTCAAACTTGAGCCCCCTGGAAGAGCAGGAACCACGTCTCCAGCCCCATCCTGCTACTTCCACTTGTGAAATAACTAACTTTCTTATCGGTCCTCAAACCCTCCTCTTTTGCCCTGGACCTGGCACAGCCACTCTACTGCACAGTAAGAGCCACCAACCTTATTTTAGAGCCATTCCAAAGATGAAAACACCATTCCAGTGCCATTTCATACCTGACTAATGAGGAGTTTCATTGTCTGTCACATGACAGCAGCACATTAGGACTACGAAGTATTTCTAGTAACACATGCTCTTCAAGCACAAATCATCTCAGCATACAGATATGCACAGGAGACTCAGGAAGCAAGGCCATGTCCACAGTATATAAAGTAGCAGGGAGGGTCAAAATTCAAAAAAACATCATATATCTTATATAGATCAAATTGGACAGCAAAATTCATACAAGTGAAATCACTCTACCAGTTAAATAAACCAGGGACCATCAGACACAGGTAAGGTTCTTATCCAACCACATATAACAAACTCTTATGCCACACTGACCCCCACTTAATCACCATGTCCAACAAATGGACACTTAACCACACATATTCTCAAGCTTCAGCTGGAATCTTCAATCCAGCTTTGCTCAAGCTTGGCATGACCATGGCCCAGAAGACAATGCGAGGAGTGTATAAATGTGAGAACAAAGATACCAGTTAAGACATTTTTATGCAAATATGAAGAAGGGATTTCCATTATGACTAAAAGGGGAAACTGGGTAAGGGAGAAAAAATCCATTTTTCATAGGTTGTGTGTAAGTCACAAAACAAAACAAAACAAAAAAAATCACTGAAATCCACCTTAACATTCATCCACAGAATAAAACAGGACTACAACACCTGCCAGCAAATTCTTTCTCCTTGTAATGCAAGTGATGCCAACAGATCCCAGCTATTCTCAGTGTTTGCCATGTATATGTGAGCATATGGGGCAAAATAAAAAGCAAATGAATTCATCACTAGCACCATCAAAATAACTGTAAAAGCCAAACAGTTTCTACTGAATTACAAACTTTTTCCTAAATAAGGATCTAACTAAGCCACTGGTGTAAAGGGTCCATCCAGATACCAATGCACAATGTCTTTGCAAAGCATCTATAAAACCGGGTTGAGTACCAGAGTTGAGGCAAAAAGGAAAAACACATGGCCACACTGAACATGGGCCCTGAAAATAACAGAAGAACAGGAATAAGATTGGGTAGTACTTATCAGAAAACTATGAGGACTCTGATAAGCATTATACACTTCGGTTGTCATAACCATAAACTGAATATTCATTCAGCCTCTCATTCTCACAGTAACACAGATATGGCGAGCTGAAACAATACATAAATTGTGTGGCTTATTTACAACAAAATTGTCATTAATTGGGCATCCCAGAAAGATGGCTTTGCCCGAAGACAAAACTAAAAAGGAATGAGCTGCATGCCACAAAGATGTCAGCGCTTCACTTGAGGTCTCCATCTCCTTCTCCATCCCCTTGGATAGACTTCTTGATACGAAGCAACATGGTGGTCAGCCACTGATCCAAGCGTGATATTGAGTCAAACTCCTTCACCTGGTTTAAGGAATGAAGAACAGGATTATACCTGAAATACATTGAAAACACAAGCACCAGTGACCTAAGCTGTTTGAAGATGTTACTGTGATAACCCACTGACTTTGATTAGAAATTACTCATTCTAGGGCTGGAGGAATGGCTCTGTGGTTAAGACTGCTTTTCCAGAGGTCCTGAGTTCAATTCCCAGCACCCACATGCAGCTCATAACTCTTACCTCCAAGATCTGACACCCACACACAGACATAAGCATGCATAATATCAATGCACATGAAATAAAAATAAAAATATTTATAAAAAATATTCATTCGGATTTATAACTTTCCTCACTAAAAACAATTTTACTAGCCAGGTGGAAATTAAAGCTGGCACATGCCTTTAATCCCTTGGAGGCACAGGCAGGTGGATCTCTTGAGTTTGAGGTCAGTCTGGTCTACAGAGTGAGTTCCAGGACAGCCAGGACCACTGCACAGAGAAACCTGTTCTTGAAAAACCAAACCAAAGAAAAACATGTCTCCCCAATCAGTTTTTATCCTATCAGCCTGTGCATTTAATTTTTCTTTGTATGCCAACATGTATATGGCAAAAATCCACAAAAGCTATTATAGATGTAAAGGTAAATTTTATGTGACAAGAGGACAGAGGGCATGGCATAAGAATTAGTAAGGTATAAGAAAACTATTATTTACTGATCATAAAAAATACAATCAAATAATAACTAGGGGATGGGGAGCAGAATCCCCTTGATGGATTTCAGCTTATGCAAAGAAAGACAATGACACTGGTGAAAGCAGTTTGAGGGTAAAAGTTAAGATATTCCTTTTTACTGTCACTTTAAGCCTGGAGTTGAAGTCATTCCAAGCTCCTGAGAAATCTGCTTGACTCTGAACACAAGATTGCAAAAGATAAACAAAGACAAACATAAAGTAAGTAACCTATAACACAAATACTCCAAAGTGCACCAAAGGCTCAGTTTTGATACTTTAGTTTTAACCAGAAGCCCTCCTTTACACTGTCAGACTGTCTTCAAATCACCAAAACTACATGTTACAACTCCGTCACAACTTTCTGAAGAAGCATCCCGGATAAGTTAGTTCTCAGTGGAAATCAAGAATAAGGGCTCAATACAACTAGAACTTCTGCATGGTGATGGGTTAATGGAATTAAATAAGAATTTTAGATTTATTAATTTCATATATATAAATGTATGTACAGTGTGTGTGTCAGGTGTCCATGGAGGTCAGAAGAAAGCACTGGATCCCCGGAGTTGGTGTTACAGATGGTTATGAGCTGTGGGGTGCTGAGAATCCACTCTGGTCCTCTACAGAGAGAAACAAATGTTCTAAACCACCAAGCCATCTCTCCAACTCTTAGTGGAAACAGTCTGTGGGACATGCAAGACATCTTTAGAAAATACAAGCAAGTTGAACCACATTCAAATAAATATTCAGAATTTACACAATGTAAAGAAAAACTAATTTTTATACTGTAAACCTTTAAAAATGCAACAGTTCCTGAAGGTGTAACTTACTGCTTCAGTGTAAGCTTCACTGTTCTGTTCTTCATGAGCTTCTAGAAGTTTCTGATGGCATTAAAAAAAATCAAGAAAATACTTTAAGCTAGAAAGTCCTGTTTTTGTAGGAATACAAATCACCTCGGTTATTGTCTGCACTGGCGTTCCTAGTATCTCACAAAACAGGATATACCCAAATGTAAGAATTACCCAAAAAAAGGATCTAACTTTGTACTGCTATTTCCATTCTGCCTACTGTGGAACAGCGTTAAACACTCTTAACCCTCTTGACATACGAATATCTACAATGAAAAAACCAAGTCTGAGGTACCCAAGTGATTGATGGCTTGTCTTCATTGTCAACTGAGTTTGGAGTCACTATTCAAACACACCTCTGGGTGTTTCTAGAAAGGTTTAACTGAAAACAGCAGACCCACCATCTCTTGAGTCCCAGACTGAATAAAATGTAAAAGCAAGTGGGGCACCAGCATTCATTTCTCTCTGCTTATTCACTGAAGACAAAGTGTGACCAAACATCTCATGCCCCTGGTGCTATGATGGACTGTCCCATCAAACTGTAGCCGAAACATACTTCCTCTGTTAAGTTGCCCAGTGTTGGATTATTTCATTACAGAATTAAGTCCAGTAACCAGTACACCCTCAGAAGACTTACTGATTAAAACTCCACCCATCAGCAGTCCCACTTAGGTGCCATCACCCAACAGTAATGGCTTTTGTCTTCAGAGCTGTTTCAGTACTTACTTTCAATAATTTACACTCTCTAGAGTCAGTAAATGCTGGAAACATTTCCTCATATTTCTCAAGAGCAAGCTGAAGAAGGAAAACAACCAGTCAATGTGAAACTTAGTGAACTAGGAGAGTTGTCAATGCCCTATTAAGTCAAAAAATTTATTTCATCCCATTTAACTGTTGAAAAAAGTATAATATTAAACTCTAATCGTAATAGAGGAAACACATTTGTTAGATATTCAATTTCAATTGAGAATAAAATTTCTAAAATATTTTTAGATTTCCACTGGGCTACTGGAGAGAAGAAACAATACAATCTAATTCACTTGCCAGGATCTATACTTGTCTGCTAAACAGAGACCTTCCTTTATACCCTCCAAATGCCAAATACCTAGGGTAGGAGGACTCTAGAGCAGTTTTTCTCTGTGGCTCTTTGAACTCTAGATGACCAGTGCCAAGGCTGCTCAGGTCTAATCTTGCTTTCTAGTTGTGATCTTGCTTTGCAGCCTTCTCCGACTTTCATTCTATTCTATTTCATTGCACTTTTGAACTTGTTTGTGTATTTTTTAAAAGAGGACTTAGAAACTGGGTGTGGTGGTCTTTACCTTTAATCCCAGCATTTGGGAGGCAGAGGCAGGTGGATCTCTGTGAGTTTGAAGTTATTCTGGTCTACATAGTAAGTTCCAGGACAGGGCTACATAGGGAGACTCTGTCTCAACAACAACTACAAAAAAAGCTATTAGGGCCAGTAAGGTAGTTTAGCAGGTATGGGCATTTGCCACCATGCCTGACTTGAGTTTAAACCATGAATCCTGAATAATGGAAGAAGACTAACTGCTAAAAGGTGCTCTCTAACGTCCACATGTGTGCTGCGACATATCCACATGCTCTGCTCTGCCCTCCCCACAAAAGTAAATAACAAATGCAAACAGGGGGGCAGAGGACATTAATTTTACTGTCTCTCTCTTAGTTCCCCATTCTATTTAAAGCAACCGCTAAAGGAAACTTGAAGAGGACAGCACTGCAGCTGTTAAAAGATTCAAACTCACACATCGTGGAAGAACTATTACTTTTACTTGTATGTAGGGCAGGGTAAGTATGCATTCATGTGGCTGTGTGCTCGAGCATGTTAGGGAGGGCGCATATACACATGAGTGTGTGTATGTGGAGGCCAGAGGTCATTATCAAGTGTCTCCCCCAATCATCCTCCACTTCATTTTTGATGAGTGGCATCTCCCTGAATATGGTGCTCATCACTTGGATGGACTGGCTGGCCAGCAAGCTTCAAGAACCCGCTTATCTCTGCCTTGTTTCTCAAGGCTGGCATCACAGATATGAGCCACTGCACCTGGCTTTTCTATGGGTGCTGGGCATCTGAACTCAGGCCTGCAGGTTTGTGAGTTAAGTGCTTTATCCAGTGTGCCACTGCCACAGCTCTTAAGACCTGTATGAGGAGACACATGAAGAAGAATGACAAAGCATCTCTTCTCAAGGGTAAAGTAAATCAGCAAGGAGCGTGTTCTCACCTTGGCATTCAACTCATCCACTATAAAGTGACAGAGCGCTGCCTTGAAGAAGTAATCCTTTGCACTGTACTTCAACAAGGGGTTATCCATTGTGTTTGCTCCTACCTAGGCAGAGAAGAGAGCAAGTCACTAGCACAGGCAAAATAACCCACTGCCTACTCACTTGTTTTGTTTTAAAAAGTATGTTTCAGTATCTTAGTAATATACTCAACACCAAATAGTATGGTTTACTAGATAAGACATAATTAGGCACAGGAACTGTTAAGAATGCTTAGAAGACTTCTGCTTCTGAGACAATGGAAAGCTCTAAGCTTTCCCCCATTCTTTCTATGAAGTACAACTAGAAGTTTGCTGTTTTAAGGAAAACAAATGTCTGTTGTATGGTATTTTGATTGCATTCTGGCAATAAAGTCTAATTTGAGTCAGTGGGTAGAACTAGCCATTAGCTGAGCAAAATTAACCACAGAGGTCTTGAACTCACAGAGAACTAACTGCCTGACTCTGCCTCCCAAGTGCTGGGACTAAAGGTGTATGCTACCAGTGCCTACCTAAACCTTCCTTTCTTTAAATTACTTTCATCAGGCGTTTAATCACAGCAACACAAAAACTAAGTAACATGTTACTTAAATACTAAATATTCATAAATGGCAATATTCTCTGAGGATCAATTGTGTGTATCAACTTGAGTAGACCATGGGTGCCCAGATCCTGGCTAAATATCACCCTGAGTTAAGATTAGCATTTCAGTCAGCAGAGGAAAAACAAAAAACAAAAAACAAAAAACAAACCAAAAAACAAAAAACAGACTTTCCTTTCCAACATAGATGGGCCTCAGCCAACTCACTGATGCCTGGACCAATTACAAGTCTAAGCAAAGGGGCTAGTGAGATGGCTCAGGGGGGAAAGGTGCTTGTCACCAAGCTGGGCAGCCTGTTAATTTCCTGGATTCCGAGTGACAGAGCTGACTTCTGCAAGATGTCCTTGCATCTGCCCCCGCCCCCATAAACGAATGTAATAAAAATTTACTTTTTTATGCCAGGTGGTGGTGGTGTATGCCTTTAATCTCAGCACTTGGGAGCAGAGGCAGAGGCAGGTGGATCTCTGTGAGTTTGAGGCCAGCCTTGTCTACATATTAAGTGCCAGGACAGGCTCCAAAGCTAAACAGAGAAACCCTGTCTTGAAAAACAAAAACAAGCAAGTAAAACATATGCTTTTTTATGTTTAAGGAAAAAACGGCTGATCCTTCTCACCTGATAGTTCTAGAATTGAGACAATGCTCTTCTGCATTCAGGCTAGAGCTCATAACATTTGTTTTCACGACAGATCTGGGCCATCTCAACCTCTACCATTGAGAGTAAATGCCTAAAATCTTCTTTCTTTTCTTTATGTACTCCAGTCTGTTGGTGCTATCTATTACTCTGGAGAACCTTGACTAATATGCTTTTTGAATTGCTCTACACACCCAGTTCAAGTCCTATTAACAGTGAAGCTAGATTCACTGCAGGATATCACACTGATCCCAAAATTTATGTTACTTCAAGGGATCCAGAAGGAGGACAATCTTGAGAAAGAAGAGTCAACTGCAGGACTGACAGTCCCTGATTTCCAAATTTCCCTGTAGAGATACCACTGTCAGAACAAAGTGATACTGGCATAAAGCTAAACAGATGGATGGAATACAGGGCCCAGAATGAAGCCCCTGCACTAGTGAAACAAGTTCTAGACCATTGGAGAGCATATTTAACAAATGACAATGAATAAAGTGATGTCCATACGTTAGAGTGAAGGTGGATCCCAGTCTACCATGCACACAAATAGCTTAACTCAGAATGGATCAAAGACCTGAACCTAAGGGCAAAAGTCTTAAGACTCTTAGAATAAATCACTGGTTAAAAAGATTCACGATGCTCAATTTGACTATACTTAGATGCAAGACAAAAAGTACAGATAGTAAAAAGGAAAGGACAAATTAGAATTTATAAAAATTAAAACTTCTGAGGCTGGTGAGATGGCTCAGTTGGTAAGGTGCTCGCTGCCAAGCCTGGAGACCTGAGTTTGATTCTTGAGACCCACACTGTAGAAGGAGAGAACCAACTCCTTCCTTTCCACAGCTTTCCCGTAATCTATTTTCTGCACTCACACACTACACACAAAATAAATAAATGTAAAAACAATTATTTTAAGAGAAACCCTGTCTCGAAAAACCAAAAAAAAAAAAAAACAATTATTTTAAATACTAAAAAAAGTCTAGATCCAGGCAAAACAAAAAAAAAAAAAAAACAATTATTTTAAATACTAAAAAAAGTCTAGATCCAGGCAAATAAACAACAGAATAAAAAGGAAATCCATAGAATGGGAAAAATGTAAGTTATTCCTGACCATAAATAACTTGTATCCTAATATCTAAGATTAAAGAATGTTTTATCAAAAAGAACAAAGGACTCAGACATTTCACCAATAATGGAAAATGGCCAGTGAGCACACAAAAATTAACACCACTCATCATGAGAGAAAGAAGAGAGGACTCTTTGAATTCATTAAGGATCACAGAGAGATGCTGGTAATGATGTGGAGAAGCTGAGAGTTTCTCAGCAAGGCAGGCTTGGGTACCATGAAGCCCAACAATCTCTATTCCGTCCCCAAGTATGCAGCCAAGACAACTGAGAACATGCTCCCACAAAAGTTAAGTGCTAATGTTCACAGCAGTATATCCTCAATAGACTCCAAGTGGAAGCATCCCAAATGCTTATCAACAGATGACTATATAAACCACAGAGCAAGCAGTAGTCAACCATGAAAAGCAATGAAACACTGACACATTATAATCTGAAGAACCTTGAAAACACTATGACAAATGACAATGTCAATCATAAAGAATAGATAGTACAGTATTCGAAAGGGTCAAGAATGGCAAATCAGGGAACCAAAAAGCAGGTTGTCTTTCCAAGCTTCTTTTGGGAATGATGGGAATACTTAAGCAGCAGATAGTAGTGACTGTTACAAACTTTGTCAAGGTGACAACAGTTTCTTCACCTGCTCGTAGATCTCGATGGCTTTCTGATACTGCTCCAGCTGTGCAGCATAGGCTGCCACCTTCAGCAGACATTTGTTAGCAGAGCTGAAAGTAGGATAGTGCATAGTAAGTGACAATACTGAAGCGACATGGCCTGTGGACACTTGCTTCCGCAGAGATGCTCAGATGACAAAGATGAAAAGCCCGTTACAGATATGAAGAAAGGCACATACCTGTTAGATTCTTCTCCTTTGTAATAATCAGCAGACTGTTCATAATGTGCAATAGCCTGAAAGTACATATATTTAGTTTACAAACAATTCATTCAAAGACTTGCACTTAAAAACTACACATGGGCCCTGGGAAGAAGACTCAGTAGGTAAAAGCACTTGCTGCCAAGCATGGCAACCTGAGTTTGATTCCTGGAACTCTGATGGTGGAAAGAGAGAAGGGATTCTTGCAACTGTCCCCTGACTTCCACAAGCATGTTATGGCACACATGTGCATACACAAAATAAATGAATAAATGTAACAAAAAATTTAAAACTACATGTACACCATTATTTTTTCCAATAATTAAGCTTATTCCAGTGATAAATCTTTCAGAAGTTGGCCTCCTCAGCAAATACAGTAATGCATGTGGTCCTGAAGCCTCCTAGAGATAAAATGCTTGATTTCATCTGAATCTATCTGTGGAGGTTTGAATGAGAAATGTTCCTCTCAGGCTCACATATTTGACAACTTGGTCCCATTTCCTGGTGCTATATGGAGAGGTATGGGAAAGTCCAGGCTTGCTGGAGGAAGTATGTCACTGAGGGAGGGCGTTAAGAGTTCACAGCCCTGTCCCATTTCTAGTCCCTTCTCTCCTCTGTGTTTGATGTTGAAGATGTGATCTTCTGCCACAATGCCTACCACTTGCTGTCATGCCTCCCTATCATGATGGGCTCTATTCCCCTGGAACTCTAACCAAAATAAGCTCTTTATTCCATAAATTGCTTTGGTCATGCTGTTTTATGTACAGCAACAGAAAAGTAACCAGTAGTTTCCCTCACTCATGGCAAATGGTCCAGCTTCCACTGCACTCAGGGTGGCCCCATAACTAGTTCTCTGATAAAATGTGACCAGCCAAACATCTTACTTTGTACCCTTTTCTTCATCTTTTCCATTTCCTAAAAGCTAAAAGATATGGCGAGGTCTGGGGTGACTGAAACCACAGACTGAACCTGCCTCCTAAATAATGACCCCTTATCCCAGCATACTTGTCATTGTCAAATCTGCACTCTGGAGTGTGTATTTAGAGGGCTCTGAAGCCTTATACTCTACAATTTACTGTAACAGCTTTGACTTTTTCTACTTCCACAAGTATCACCTGAGCAAAGATGTTCCTTCCATTTAAAATAGATGACACCCACGCAACAGTCAAATGGAGAGAAGAAAGCTAGAAGCCCTCATCAGGCTGTGACAAGAGTATTAGTGAAATCAGACCTCTCAACAGTTTAGAAGGTAGAACACACTATCAGAGCCCCAAGTATGCAAATCAGCTAGAACAGGACGGTTGTGTACACTGCTTTAATAAGCCTGATGAGAGCCAGGTGGTGGTGGCACGTGACTTTAATCCCAGCACTCAGGAGGCAGAGGCAGGTTGGATTTCTGTGAGTTCAAGGCCATCCTGGTCTACAGAGTGAGTTCCAGAACAGCTAGAACTACACAGAGAAACCCTATTTTGAAAAACAAAAACAAACGAACAAAAAAAAAATTGATGGGGATGAATCTGGAAATAATTGGCTGCTTTCAGGCGGTTATGGGCAACAGACCATGTCCACAGGTAAGAGCTTGAAAAACCAATGGCTTCTGCAGCCTAAATGGCAACAGATAAGTCTGCAGGAGGCTTTAAAGCAGGGATAAGATAAGCAGTGGCTGAAATCATAGTTGGGCGTCTAGCAGCTGATCGCTCTGCTGGCAAGGACTCAGTGATCCTGTGATAGCACAGCCACCAACACCACAGGAATGAGTGCTGTGTCTAGAGACTGACAGTAAAACATCAGTTCTGCATGATTTGAACATTTTTAAAGATTTATGTTCAAAGGGAGGGTCAGAAGCATGTGGACACTTTGTGGAGTAGGTTTTCTCCTTCCACTTTGTCTGGGTCCTGGGGATTGGACTAGTTCATCAGGCTTACATGGCAAGTGCTTCACCCCCTGAGCTGCCTCACTGGCCCATCAATTTCATATGATTTTTAGGTGCCACAAATGTTTTTGCTTCTGATGATTAAGCAGCAAAACACCTTCGTTGGCTTGTACACATATACTGGCAAGCAATAGGTTTGCAGTCCTCTGCCTTAATTTACAAAGCTTTCCCAATAAGCCCCAAATACACAACCAGTAACACATGAAAATCAGACTAAAGGTGGTAGGCACAGAAATAAGAAAACAAATAGAACAAAGCAGGCTTGAGAACTACATCTGAATACCCCTTCAAAGCCTTCGGCCTCTGTCTATCTGTAAAGTAGTGATTAGAGCTGCTGAAGTCACACTACTGAAGTCTCTGGATTGTGGAGCATCCCAAAACACACACCTTGAACAATTCTCCAATAAGACACCTCTACTCTGTGTTTCAGCCACATAGCTCACCTCCCTAATATGCTCCCCAAATAGATTTCCTCAGTATTATTTATAATAGGAAACCAATAAAAAGGCCTTCACTGGTTAAACATGTGAGCTACATAACGTTAAAGGGGTAGAGGTGCCAAGGCAGAAAGAGGTTAGGTACACTATGACTCCCTTTTAACAGATACAAAAGTCCATACAAAAAGCAGGACAATACAATCACTTGTAATCCTTCTCAGAACCATCACATTCATGGTTCCATCTCTCAGAGAAGCAAGTTCTGTGAGGGGCCCAGGACTGCTGTTCACCATAGCATCCCTGAGCCCAGAATAATGCCTACGGTATGGCAGATGCTCAGTAACCAGAAGTGAATGAAAAGGCCCTAACTAGACCACTGTCAATATTCCAAGTCATTCAAAGGACCAAAAATGTTCAGCAAATTTATGATTGGGGAAAAAATGTCTTTGGGGCTGGGGCGGAGCCTAGTGGTAGAGTACAGGCTTGGCCTCTATGAAGCTTTCGATTTGATGCTTGTCCTCACCCTCTTGATCCTTCTGAACTAGTATTATTCTTTGAACTGCTTAGCATTGTTTCCACTGTAATAAATGGTTCAGGGCACAAAAAGCATACCCATGTCTCCTGTAGAAAACCTGGACCACAGACCCTCTTTCTAAGGAGAAGAAGATAGTCATTATAAGTTTTATTTAGTTTTAGGTCATTGGAACTGGCCTGGAACTTGCTATGAGTTCAGGCTGGCCTTGAACTTACAAAGATTCAATTGTCTCTGCCTCCCAAATGCTGCTATTAAAAACTACTCATGGCTACAAGGTTTTGTCATAATTATTTAATTTTTGAGATTATAATTACATTATTTTTGCCTTCTAGACCCTTCTTACTCTCTTTCAAATTCATGGCCTCTTTTTTCCATTCACTGTTGTTACATATATATGCCTAAATATATAAATACAACCTGCTCAGTCTGTGTATCAGGGCTGATCATTTAGTGTTGGATACACAACTGGTGTGATCATCCCTGGGGAAGACTATTTCTCCAGCTCTCAGCACTCCTTAGTTGCCTGCAGGTTTTTTGTTTGTTTGTTTGTTTCGGCCTGAGGCCTCCTGGGCTTTCCTCTGTCCACGTTAGCATGTCTATTGCTGTGCTTGTTCATCTCATCTTCAGGCGACCATGCTGGTGAGGCTTTATGGATGTAACATACAGGGAGAGACAATCTCATAGCAAACTCCCTGTTCCTCTGACTCTTAAACCTGCCTCCTCTTCTGAAATAACCTTAGGTGCAGAAGTTGCATTGTAAGTTTTTTTTTTTTTTTTTAAATAATGCTAATCAAACCAACACCCAGACTCCATGGTTTCCCAAGTTTTAACAGAAAGACTAGGGAAGGCGAGAAGCCACCGCCAGCAATGAATCTTCACTCCAGTGGCATTTTAACTTAGCAGGCATTTGTGGGTCTTAGTACTAAGAGAGCCTACTGTATCTCACCATTTCCACCATAAGAGTCCATTGTGTACATACACCACAGTAAAGGAACCTTCAAATAGGCTCAGTTCCCTTAGAACAAACAGCCTTGGGCTGAAGATAAAGCTACAGTAAATGCCTATCTTATGCTGTAAGCAATACTATGAAGTCAGGTTCTTCAGGAGCCAGAAACAGAAACAAGCTTTATCTCCCCTGGGTCATTTAAGGATCACACACTTAGGACCTGTTTACATGCGGGTGAGTGTTTTACCTCAGGAAGCTATAATAAGTCATTTGCATGTTTGATGGCACATCTCACTGCCTAATAACTAAAATCTGTGAAGGAAGCAAAAGAGCACACAAACATCTGTCATACTGACAGTGAATAATATCTAGAACAAACTAGAATTTTGGCTCATTGATTTTTCAAACATAAATTTCAAATTTCCAATGTTGTAAGAGCCTCAAAGTCAGGGGCCAAAAATTTAGTTCTACCTCTGTATCTGTATGTGTGTGTGTAAAGTACACATAACTTTTTTCTTGAGATAGTGACTTGCTAAGCAGCCATACTGGCCTTGAGTTTACAATATCCAGTCTCAAACTCCTGACTGCTGGGATCATATACACCACACCACACCTAGCCTTTCTTTCATCTCTTCCTTCCTTCCTTCCTTCCTTCCTTCCTTCCTTCCTTCCTCCCTCCCTCCCTCCCTCCCTCCTTCCTTCCTTCCAATTTATTTTTTGAGTCAGGGTTTCTCCATGTAGCAGCTCTACCTGTCCTGGTACTTGGTCTGTAGACCAGGCTGGCCTCAAACTCACTGCCTCTGCCTCCCAAGTGCTGGGATTAAAGGCATGTGCCACCACTGCCCAGCAGCCTTTATTTCTTAAATAACTTTCAACAGAACAAGATGTATCAGTGAAAAAAAGAAGGTGCCACCTACTGGCTAATTCACAGAATAACAAAACCAGACCAGGTAATAGAAGCTCAAAGGCTACCTAAAAAAAAAAAAAATAGTAGTGAAATGGTTGTGTGAGAAATTTCCTGGTATAAGGAATAGCCTCCAGACCAGTGTTCTTCTGACTGCCAGGCCAGAAGTCTTTCTGACTTCCATGGGCTTGGAAGCAGCCCAGAATGATGTCTGTGCATATTCCACATCCTCCACAAGACCCATTCAGTCTTGAGCTAATGCAGGTCTCCAGCCTGCTGGACACAGAGGCTGGAGAGATAGGTCAGTGGTCAAGAGCATTGACTGTTCTTCCATAGGATCCAGGTTGGAATCCTAGCATCCACAGCAACCATCTGTAACTTCAGTTCCAGGGGATCCAATACTCTCTTCAGGCCCCCAAGGGCACATGTAGACAAAATACTCAAACATATAAGATGAATGTTTGTTTTTTTGAAGCAGGGTTTCTCTGTGTAGCCTTGGCTATTCTAGAACTAGCTCTGTAGACCAGGCTGGCCTCAAATTCAGAGATCTGCCTGATCTACTTCCTGATGTATGCGATTAAAGTCATGCACCACCGTGGCACAGCTTAAAATGGATCTTAAAAAAAAAAAAGACAGTAGAGACAGACAGACACATGGCTGCTTTGCTGCTTGAATCTGAGATGAGGGAACAGGGGAGCAGATGAGCTGCAGCCTCTGCACTGATCACATGAAACTGGAGACTAAGAAGTGCTGAGACACAGAAGTAGTGAGAACAGCATCCAAAAAACCTCTTCACAACCTAGATGGGGACAAGAGAAAGGGCAAGGAAGCCTGTTGACTGGAGTACTCAGGGGTGGAGGCAGCACTTGAGAAGAAAATTCAGTATAAAACCCACTGGCTCAGATGACTGTGGAACCCAAGAAGAAGAGCCACAAGCAGGACACAGATGAGAGCAGTGACGCTGAGTGAGTAATGCTGACCGAGGATGCAGAGGTTGCCTTCCACTTCTTCAGAGCTTCAGAGAACTTCAACAGACAGGTGGAAAGTCTTTTGACCATTCTAACACGAATAAAAGCACACACAGGTAAATCTCTGTGCCTCAGAAAATCTCTGGCACTCCAGGTAAACAGCCCCTTTACTCAGCCAGCTAGACCTACGCAGTCTCCACCAGGACACCTGTAATGATTCTGGGCCACTCCAGTCATCAGGGAAAGAGGAGCAGAGGATTCCTAAGAGGCCAAGCATCCACCTTCTGCACCAAGCTCATGGGTGTGGTCAGCACTTACCTTCTCAATGTCCACAAGCTCAGTTTCGTAGATCTCTGCAATCGTGATGTGGTGCTTGGCTGCGATTGTAAACCTTCCCTAGGGGAGAGAGCAGAGTCATACACCTGCTTTATCTACACAAAACTCCAATCAGTTTGGGAAGAGTTAAAAAACAACTCTAAAGCAGCTCAAGGACTCCACCCCACAGCCATTCAAGCAATGCAATGTCTTACCATGTCTGTGTAAATGTCGATGGCTGCATTTAAGCAGTTGATAGCCTCTGAAGCGTGGGCATTTAAGAAAAACAATGAAAAATTCATTCAGTGAAAGAGGGTTCAGCTGAGCCTGTTTCCTGGCTGCTACTACTGATGGTAAGGAGGTGAAATTTGGGGTAGCGGGTGGGCAGGCTGGTTAGTGGGAGCAGACACAATCATGCACAGTCCGGATTCATTAGCGTGGCTTTGTTCCTAGCAGCTGCACTGGTATTGAAAGCAGTGTAGCTGCAGTAATACTGGCTCAGTAACTCTTAGGGGGTCCATCCAGGTGGCGAATTCTATTACAAAGGAAACAAGAACACAGGGATTGCCACCCACACTGGTAAAGGAACCCTGCTACTGTATATGATAAATGCAGCCTTCATTAATATGTGTGTTTATATAATTTTGGAAAATATCACCTCTTCACCAGGAAGACCATTTCAATAGTCTCCACTCTTCATGAGGCCAACATCAAAAGCACTTTGTAATGCTTTTTGAACTCTTAAGTCAAATATGTAAATGTGTACACTGCTCAAAGACACTAACTTTTGGTATACTAAAAGTTACCTAAAAGTTACATTGGTATACATATCCATGAAACAAAGGGAAAATTTTACAATGACAATGCTAATAAATTATATTCATCTCTTAAAATGTTGTACCAGGAAGATTCTTGTCATAGAACAGTGTGGCTGACAGCACCAAGTTTGCCTTCAGTTTGAAAGAGACAGCAAAGAGGCAAAGCTTGATTGGAGGAACAGAAAAGTGACTAGAACAACAAAAATGAAAAGTGACCTTTCCCTACAATGTATTTAAAAATGTATACCCACGCTACAACTCACAAATTATAGGAAAACAGAGCGAGATTATTTGTAATACCACTTAGGCCCAGCATGCCCACTTCAGCACTTTCTTTCCAGTGTTTTGGACGTGTTTCTACATGTGCAAGGATTTGCTGTTGTTGTTTTTTTCTTTTTCAGAAACTGTGGCCACACAACACTTGGATCATTAATTAGCATGTGAACATTTCCAGGGTCAACAAACATTCTATGAAACTAAGCACTTTGGTTTCTTTGAGGCAGGGTCTCCCATCACAGGCTGGTCTGCAACTCCCAAGCCTCCAGCCTCAGTCTCCCAAGAGCAGGAATCACAGGTGTATGTCACCACAACCAGCCCCAAACAAGGGACTTGGATGCTTGTGTGACATTCTACAATATGGAGTCATTCTGCTCATAGCCATTCTGCTCATACCCACTATGCTCTGTCTCTCACTTTTGGAAATAAAAGTATGGTTAATCTTTATACAAAAGAGCTTGATGACATTTTTCTTCGGGATATAGTCCTAGAAGTTTAGATTTGTGTGTTTAACAAAACAGACTACAGAAGAAGACTCAAAGATAACTATGTACATGTAGGGGGCTTAATAGCTTTAGTTTAATCCTTCTCAAAAAAGTAGTAACATTTGCAAAAATGTTACTAATTTGATGTCCAATATTCTTTCCTATAAAAAAAAAAGCGTTTAAAAGCACTTAGAAAAACAGTAAAAAGAATGCTGTGTGGTTAAGACACCCTTTTAACCACTGGATACTACACTCCTTCACTACGTGAAATACACTTAGAAGGATAGGAACACCAGGCGAACATATTTCATGAAGATGAGATAAGGTGCCTGTAATCCCAGCACATGAAAAGCAGAGGCAGGAGAGTGCAGAGTCAGCTTTAGCTACATGATGGAAAACTGTCTCAAATGTCCCTCCCTCAGCTCCTCCAAATTGATGTCTTTATGAGTAGAGTAGACATTATTAAAATGACCAAAATTTCTTTCTTATCCTATAATGCAAGAATTCTTATTACCAGGACTCAGCATGGCACACCAACCTAAACACCACAGGAAGCGGTGCTGGTCAGTGACACAGAGCCACTCAGTGGCCTTACCTTGAGGGTCTGCTTTCTTGTAAGCATTTCCAGCATCCACAAAGCTGGTAGCAGAGTCATGTTTGCTCTGAAGCTGCATGTGGAGCTTGGCGGCTTGACAAAACGCATTTCCTGCAGCTGAAGAAGATTCATGGTTAAATAGTAAGGAACAGCCTTCCCAAAGAAGATGCCAGGTCCCACACAGAAAAGGTACAGGTCTCTAAAAAGAACCTGCAGCCAGAGACCACAAGCATCAGGACAAGTGCATCTGAGTGTTGGTCACTTTTCCTAGAGGACCGACCAAGCATCCTAGACACGAAGCCACTTTTTTTTTTTGGCCCACCACTCAAAGACTGACAGCCAACATTTAGGATCTTAAGCCATAAGATTAGCCCAAAAAGGGGAACTTAGCTTCACACAGTTAAAGAAAGGCCAAGCACTAAAGCCAAGGCTATTCACCTACTCATTTCTCAGTCCCAGTGTCCATGTCACTCAGGTGTCATTGTTCAATCTGCTTCACTAGGAAAATCATGACTTAGAATGGCACAAAACCTTAAGGCAACAGTTTTCAACCTTCCTAATGCTGGGACCCTTTAATACACTTCCTCATGCTGTGATGACCCCCAACCATAAAATTATTTTCATTGCTACTTCATAACTATAATATTGCTACTGCTATGGATAGTAAAGTAAATGCCTGAGTTTTTTGATGGTCTTAGGTGACCCCTGTAAAAGGGTCATTCAAACTCCGAGGAGTCGTGCCCACAGGTTGAGAACCACTGCAAGTTTAAAATACTTGGGGGAAGGAAGATGTGGTTTGCTAAGGGTCTTGCTTTCCCTGAAGCTCCACTCACAATCCTTTTCTGCCTCAGCCTCCCAAGTGTCAGAACTACAAACAGGCATGTGCTACCATGCCCAGGCTCATGTTTTGAATGCTTGGTCTCCAGCTGGTGGTGCTGTTTTGGTTAGTTCTAGAAGCCTCAAGAGGTGTGCCTAAATGAAAAAACAAGGTCACTGAGGGCTGAGGCTTGTCAGAGTCACCTTCCTTTCCCTGTTCTTGCTTCCTGTCCACAGTAAGGCCAAGACGCCCCTCTACCCCCATCCCATGACATTCTACCTATGCACATGGGGTCAAACAAGCACTGACTGAGCCCCTGAACTAAGTAAGCCTCTCTCTTCAAGCTGTTCTGGTATTCTGTTCACAGCTAGAGGCCATTCTGACAATCAAAAAGCAGTGTACTCAGCTAAGTAACCACTTGCTTTAAATTTACCTGTAAGAAATAAAACTTTCAAGTCTATGAAAGCTTTAGCTGTCTCCCTTGCGCCAAATACCCTCTTCACAGGCATTAATCTAATTCCCACGTGGACCTCTGATCATCAGGGAAAGGAAGCCACACAAACCCTATATCCTGCTCCAGTTCAGTTCTTGTCCTGTACCTCTGTTTCTGACACAAGAGAACACATGCTATTTAGGAAACATTTACTACTTAGCACGACATGGGTGCTGCTGTGGTCAGAATGCTGGCATCATATTTTGGAGTCTAATACCCAATGTGATAGTATTACTCATTAGGGCCTTTAGGGAGTTGTTAATCCATGAGTATTCCACACTTATGAGTAGAATTAGTACCAGTACAGAAGATACTGAAAGGAGCAAGTTGCCATGTGGGATGAAGCAAGACAATGCCATCCTGGAAGCAGAGAGAAGTCTTCGCCAGATACTGAATTTGCTGATCTTGGACTTGTATTTTATAAATTACTCAGATGAAGGTATTTTGTTCCAGCAGCCGAAAAGCACTAAGGGAGATACTGACCAATGAGAACTAGCCTTGGGGCTACAGCTGGATCAGAACAATCCCTGCTGGCAACCAAAGAGCCACACGAGATAAAAGACTGAGAAGCGCCAAGGTCAAGCTAGCTGCAGGAATAAGCCAGCTGGTCAGGAGCTTTGATGGACTCTGCCTTGGAAGAATGTAGTGACCTGGACCTGCCGTGAAGTTTTGGGAGGACCTGGCTCTGGAAGCACAGGCGCTGGCCACTCTCATTACAGCAGACACATCTCTCTTCAGCATATCCCTGCACTCATATTCTCACTTTTTCACAACTCACACCAGCATCTCACTTCCTACTGCTTTCACTATCTCAGAACCTATCCTTTCCCTGCTGGGGGTAGAGCACAATAGCTGGCTCCTTTGGGCTACCTCAGTCTCCAAGATATTAGTTGGTGCTGGTTTTACCTTTTCATGCCACTACTTTATCTCTTGGAACACATATTCTGGCCACCGCTAACAAGGGCAAGTCTCTTTCAACCTGGAAGTGTCTTTACAGGAGAATGGCCTCTGGGAAGTTACCCAATGTGTCAGGCGTAGTTTGAACAGTGGCTGAAAAGCATTAGCTTAATCATATAAAACAACTTCTAAAATTATGAGAGACAAAATGCCGTCATGATCACCACCAGTGTACCACTGCTTCAGTTTCAGAGCCTCATGTGTATTTATTCAATTAACAAATAAATATACTGAATATCTACCATATCAGAGACACAATGTAGACCCTGGAGATGCAGTCAGAATGGAAACATGTAAACACTCAGACCTTCAAAAGTACATGCTAGTGAAGGCCACCATGTGACTTTTGAATACATGTAAATATAAATAACTAAAACACCACATAACTTCCATGTTTTTGCTAGGTGGTAGTGTGGGGAGTGGGGAAGAGTAGCGAGTTTCCAGGAAGGAGATTATTGTTATAAGGGGTAGTTAAAAGACAGGTGGCTGAGAAGATGGTATTTGAAGATGGATCTGAAGAAAGCAACAAACAAGGGCAAGTATGCAGACATGCCAAGGTTCTGGGGTGGGAGCCAGGAGCATGAGCATAAGCCAGTGAGGTCAGAAAACAGAAGGCAGCAGTCCTGGAAGGTCAGTGAACAAACCCAATATATGACCTGACTTACTCAGCCTCAGGAAGACTGACTGAGAGCTAAGCCTTGTATCACATGCCTACTAACCAACCATCTGGGAGACGAGGGGGGAAGATGGCTCCAAGTACAAGACCTATCTGGGCTACAGAGTCAGTCAGGCACTGTTTCAACACAAAACCGAGAAAGGGCAGAACACAGGGACATTGGGGACTCCATCCTAGCAACAGACAGAGGCAGGGTACATGGAAGGCCTCCACAGGTATGTGGAGGACAAGGACCTTTCCAAGTGAATTTCCTGGGATCTGGCCTTCAGAGAAAACAGGTATGCACTCTTGGGTAAGATCACTTTTCATCTGTGATTACAGGACTTGAGCAGCAGAGATGGGCTGCAGGGACAATTCAATTTATCTTTCATTTGTTCTTCAGTAAAATACAATGTGGGCATAAGTGCTTCTGAAGCCCTTCCATCTCCCTTTTAATGGAAGCTCTACTGCAAAGTAATCTGATAAAGGAACTTCAGAGCCAGATGCAGCCTTTCAGATCCACCCAGTTCAAAAGCATCTTCTTTGAAACAAATTGTCTGCTGTAAAGGCAATGGCCACTCTGTAAATAGCAGCTAGGAAAAGGCAGGAGCCCTTTTGCACCTTACAACAGCTGTTTGCCAAGCAGGAGACCCATGTTCTCTCTGGCCCAAGGCTGCCTCTACATTCACTTGCATAAGGATCTGAGCTATAGAAGTCTCTTTCTCCAAGGGAAAAGGAGGCATTTTTCAATTCAAGTAGTGTTCTCAAGGGCAATCCCCTCAGACAAGGAGAAGAATCTTAGTGTGAGGGCTTACCTGAGAGAATGTTCGCTAATGGGGCTTATGGGGTCACTCAGTTCTCAGTGTATTCAAAGTAGATAATTGCTTTGAAATTCTCAACACATGCTAAAGCATTTCTATCCATCTTGTTAGTTCTCAATGAGTTTTCCTATAATTATGGCATTGTATTTACTGGAATACAATTCTGAGAAGCATACCCACCCTTCCTAGTCCATGAAATGCTTCTTTCAGATTCCACAAGCCTGTTGTACTTGTGGCTTGCAGAAACTGAGGCAGACATTGTCCCAGTGGTCAGCCTTGAAACCAGGTTAGTTACCTGAGATGAGGATCCTCTAGGCACCAATGCCTGCCTTGGGGACCAACAGTCTCCAAGGGAATACACAGTCCTGTCTTCCTACAAAATTATTTTTAAAGTATTTGCCTGATAAATACACAAAATGTTGTACATACCACTCCAATTCTTGGCCATCTTGAACATATTTGCCGCTCTGGTATACATTTCACATGCCTCTTCTATTCTCGTGTTTCCTCTAAGAGAAATTTAAATACGAGGTTAAACTTGCTATTGTTAATAACTATCCACATCTCTCCTCCCTCCCTAAAACAAGATTAGTTTATTATTTATTATGTAATTATTATTATATTATTATAACCCTGAAACACTCAATAAGCTCTTCTGTGTATGAGGCAAACTATAGAATCAACAGCTAATACTGTTTCGGACCCCAAATTACCAGATGAGGAGGCTGAGGAATGCTAAGTTTACTGTCCTGGACAACATAGATGCTATAAAAGTGACACCTTTACAAAGATCTGGCAGATCCAGAGTCTACAACCATGACTAGAGTGTTCCATGTGTAACAAATGCAAGTTTTGGGTTCAGTGGTTAAGAATATTTGTTCTTGCAGAGGACCTGGGTTCCATTCCTATCACTTAATATGGAGGCTCACAACCATCTGTAACTCCAGTTCCAGGAGGATCTGATACCCTCTTGGTAGGCATACATACATGTAGGCAAAGCTCTCATACACACAAAAATAAATATATATCTAAAAGTTTTTGCAAGTTTTCTGTCAAGCTAGGTAAGTGGACTTCTTTATATTAAAAGTATATTTCTCAAAGAAGATTACATTTTGAAGGGTGAAGATACTTTCTCCTGCTATTCTTAACAGTTTGGCATAAAACCTAAAACTCAGATGTGGTGGCCCAGGCTGTAACCCCACATTGGAGTGGCAAAGGTAAGAAGATGGTGACTTCCAGGTCAGCCTGAGCTCAATGGTCAGACATTGTCTGAAAAGCAACCACCCAACCCCCAGAAAAGCTACAAAACTGTCAGCTCTGGCAGGGGCCAAACCTGTCTCCAGCATAAAAGGACCTCAGAGCCCCATCCTCACCAAGTACAGGAAAGCACTGTAGACATTTGAGAAGAGGACACTTCACAAGCAGCAAAGAATGCATGTAGTCCTAGAAAGTTCTTCAGTGGGCAGCTAATTCCTATTGATGGATAGCTTAGTTTTTATTTATTTTTAGTTACAAAAATTATTTTATGTGTATGAATTTTTTGGTGCCATGTATCTCAGAAGGGGCATCAGAGCTCCTTGAACTGGAGTTACAGATGGCTGTGAGCTACCATGTGGATATTGGGACTTGAACACAGATCTTCTGAAAGAACAACCAGTACCCTTGACCACTGAGCTATCTCTCCAGCCTCTAGGGGATATCTTTATACACTCAGCAATTTCTTCATATATAAAGCCATATTATATATTAGTCTTTGGTGATTTACCTAGAGTTTCCGAATTCAGCTCTGCTTCTAATTAGCTCAGGCCCTTCCATAAAAGTTATTTGTCTGTCTGTCTACACTGCAAAAATAAAATCTCAGAAGAACACCTAGGCCCAAGAGTCTCTGACTGTATAGCACATACAATGAGGACTTCAGAGTGGAGGTGGAAACACAAAGTTGACAGAGTGGAAGAAGGAAGACAAGCACATCTCCAGTAAGCTCCGGCCAGTCATGATCAGTGAACTAGTACAACTGAAGCAAGGGCCTGTGGTAGCATCTCCATCCTTTGCTCCACTGCCAAAGCAAGTACACAACATTCTTCCCCTACCTACCGACTTCCACCATGTGAAGACAGGAAAGGATCACCACACCAGATGCCAGCACCTTGATTTTTCAGGTTCCACTCTCCAGATTTGAGAAATATACTTCTCTTCTCCCTTTAAACTACTCAGTCTTAGGTATTCTGATGTCACAAATCAGACTTAAGCCATCGAAGCCAAGAGTGTTGGAGGAGAAGCAGGAAGGGGTGCCACAGGCAAAGGGTGTGTTGTTTGATTTGGGGATGGTTACTGTCATGGTTGCACAGCTCCACTATGCAAAGATTTTTAAAAATCAGCAAACACTTCAGACAGGTAAGCTACCTGCCAGGTAAATTACATCACAACATACCGCTATTCCTGCCTGCCAAATAAAATAACCTGGGGCCATATCACACAAGGAACGACAGAATGTCATCAAGCTGTTCCAAAAATGAGGAGCCAAAACAAGCAATGTTTTTAACTTCAACCTTTAGGTCCCTCTACTCTACTTCAAATCTACATTATTTTTTTCTTTTTAAAGATTTATTTATTGTGTATACAGTATTCTCTCTGCATGTAGGCCAGAAGAGGGCACCAGATCTCATTACAGATGGTTGATGGGACTTGAACCCAGGACCTCTGGAAGAGCAGCCAGTGCTCCTTTTTTTCCCCCTAAAGATTTATTTATTATGTATACAGTGTTCTGTCTGCATGTGTCCCTGCAGGCTAGAAGAGGGCACCAGATCTCATTACAGAGGGTGGCTGGGACTTGACCCCAGGACCTCTGGAAGAGCAGCCAGTGCTCTTAACCTCTGAGCTATCTCTCCAGCTCCAGCCATTGCTCTTAACTGCTGAGCCATTTCTCTAGCCTCTCCACATTAATTTTTCTAAAAAGATTTATTTTCTTTATGTATATGAGTGTTTTGTCTGCATTTATGAATGAATGAGCACCATTTGTGTGCCTGGTGCCCACAGAAGTTAGAAGAGGGTGTCAGGTCCCTGAAACTGGAATTACAGAAGCTTATGAGTTGCCAGTGTAGGTGCTGGGAACTGAACCCACATCTTATGGAGGAAGAGCCAGTGCTCTTATGCTCTGAGCCATCTCTCCAACCCATCTACATTTCTTTTCTTTTTTTAGAGCAACAAACTAATAGGCTTCCCTAGTGGAAAATTCCTCATGAGAAGTTTCTCACTTTTAGTCACAGCTCCAGAGTTAACACAAGCTAGCCTTTTCCCGTGTCTTGTTTTTCTGTCAAGTACCAGGAATCTTTAACTGTAATTACAGTGTAGTGCAGCCATTCTTATTAAGTTTCTAAATAAAACTAGCTTAATTAAAATGTGCCTTATCCTACTTTCAAGTAGAGATGCAAACAACAAAACTCCTGTGTTATGCTAAGTTCACACCAGATATAGCCACATCAGGCCATTTTTTAAAATCATTATATATCATTATAATAACCAGAGGACACTACCTTCATCTCACAAGAGACACTGGCATCTGGAGGCCAGTGGCTCACCCTCATCACACAGCACAGGCTAGCAGTAGCTGGCTCCTGAATTCAAATTTAGAGATCTTTGTGAAAAGACTGAATGAGCCAGCTGGATTAGATCAAGAGGCATTTACCTGTCCTGAACAGCATTACCACAAGCATTCTCAATACCAAAAAAAAGGAGCTGGGGTGCTGGCTTAGGAGTTCAGGACACATACTGCTCTTGCAGAAGACCTGAGTTTGGTTCCCAGTAGCCACACTGGGTGGCTCACAACAGCCTGTAACTCTAGATCCAGATCCCATGCCTCTGACTTCACAAGGCACCTGCACTCATGTGCACATTCCCATGCATAGATACACAGAAGTACACATAAAAATCAATCTTAAAAAACAAGTGAAGAAAGCCAAGTATGGTAGCATTTGCTTATAACCCCAATATTTGGAAAGTAGAGGCATCCTCAGTGAATTTGAGGCCAGTCTGTGCTACATGAGAACCTGTCTCAAAACAAATAACACAAGCAAACAACAACAAAATATCTAAGGAAGACTCGTCATCGAGAGAGAGAGAGAGAGGGAGAGAGAGAGAGAGAGAGAGAGAGAGAGAGAGAGAGAGAGAGAGAGAGAGAGAATACAGTTTGGGGATGTGGCTCATCTGGTAGAGTGCTTGTCTAGCACACACAAAGCCCTGGGTTTCATCCTCACCCAATCCATATAAACTACATGATAGCCCATACCTGTAATATCAGCATTTGAGAAGTTAAGGCAAGAGGATCAGACGTTCAAGATCATCATCCATCATACAATCATACAGCCTGGGCAACATGAGACTTTGTCTCCAAAACTGTGAGGGGATACTTTAGGAAGTCATATAAAAACAAAAGGCAGGCTGCTGATAGGGGGAAAGAGTCTTGCCATACAAACCTGGCAACCTAACTTCAATCTGAAAACCCATGTAAAGATGGAAGGAAAGAACAGACTTCACAAATGACTATGACTGTAAACCCTTTGTAAATGTCTTTAAACATGCCTCAATTACTTACTTCATGAACATGAACATTAAATATTACAAGTTTTAAAGACCACCCCTCAGAATTTACATTCAAATAATTCAACTGATAGCTCCCCTGAGCTCCATAGGTAGAATATTCTTGGAAACAACAGATTGTGAAAGGAATCTCTGTTATGTTAGCCCACAGCACTAAGTGGCATGAAGAAAGCTGAACTGAGTCAGTGTCTTTTAGTATTAGGGGCTACTGACCTTGAACAAGGAAGCACCTTCTGCTCCAAGAAAGGAAACACGAGCAGGCACAACCAGAAAGAATTCAGATCTATAATTAGGATACCCTGAGGGCTATCCACCTGGAGGCCCCAGCCTGACACCCCTTTCATTTCAGAGGCTTCTTGGTTACTTACTGAGTAAACACCTGCTGAGGTCAGTATGTGCCACATGACACCAAGGAGGGAAGTCACAGTGCTCACAAAACCTCATGCATTGGGGGTGAAGATGCCTACAACAGCACATCCAGCCCCAACCCTGTTCCTATTCTGGTCAAGCCCCAAGGCAGCCCACTAAGGGTCAGTGAACAGCAAAGCTGCCCAAACCCAATTAATCCCCAAATCCTCTGAAGTCCTAGTTTTCCCCACCCTGATTAATCACTGTTTGGGGCACACAGCCACACTGGCAACTATAATACACGCTATTTTAAAGCTGTGGGTGGGAGGAGCGAGGTATCAAAGTAGACTTGTGGGAATTAATGGCACATACACACTTTATGAGATCTACCCAAAAGGTGACAACTGCAGAGGCAGAAATAAAGCTGTTTCTAAAATCACAAGATATTAGAGATATCTCAAATAATGACAGTTACAGCACTGTACCACTGTACAGGCACAACCAGAAAGAATTCAGATCTATAATTAGGATACCTTGAGGGCTATCCAGCCACACCAAACTACAA